GATGTAATGCAACATAAACAAAACGAAACGAATTGAAAAATAAGACAGTATAATTGGTTTTAAGTGAGATTAGGTTTAACATATTCAACCTGTTCTATTTTATGGGGCGGGTATTTGGGGACTAAACAAATGTAGATTTTTACAGTCAATCCAAAGTCGTGCTTGCAGATATTTTCAAGGTACAGGTAATAATACCTCAAACACGCGGGGATATGGGATGGAATTCATGTATGGTTGATAAAAAATTAGAAGTCTATCGACTATGGATAAGATTACGTAATACGGACCCAAATAGATTTTTTTAATTCATACTTGGTCCCAGTCCATACATAGGAGTTGGGAGGCTAGAACTGTAAAATTCCCTTATGATCGGAATCTATATTGTTTTTTCAATGACTATGTTGTGCTAAGACACCGCTAAATCTGTTCTATGTAGAGAAGATTATGATAATTGGGATCGAGAATTATTTTATGACACGGATAATGTAATTAATGGAAACAAATTAAGAACTTATAGAATGTATAAACTAAGCGTGAAACCTGAGACGTATGTCACCAACAATTTGATTTGAAGTCATCGTAAAGGCTTAGCAAAATTTAGATGTGGAGACTTGACACTGAATATAGAAACTGGTCGGTACACCAAGTCTAAACTCCATTATGTGAAAGGTAATCTATGTACATATGGTCAAAATTTGTATTGTATAAAAGATGAAATGCACTGTTTATTTGATTGTGATTTTTATGACCAAGCTATGATTTTAAATCCGTTTTTCTTAACATTTAATTCCCAACAGAAACTCATATTTTTAATGAATGAAGAAGATTTGCAATAGTTATTAGCAGCTGTTCTTTATCGAATGTATAGACGGAGACAATGTTTGAATAACTATAGAATATAACGATTTGACAATTGTAATTAATATACCTGATGTAACCAGCTTTTAATGATAAAAATCAAATGCAGATATGTAGATTTCATAGTGTCTCGTAGGTCAGAATTGACCGTATGTTTTAATATTACCTTGTATTTTATGTCTCTATGTTAAAACATGTGGCACATTTATAAACTATTTTACTACTACTACTCAAAATATGTTTCGTCTGAATTTTCACAGTAATCAATATTTATGATTTGTTAATTGTATCAAAAATAATTATTGGATTAATCATTATCAGCCTTATTATTTAAGCAACAAACATAGACATCTTTCTAGTTTATAAAGAAGCAAGATGAAACATTTTCTGAGCTGGCAGTTTAGCGAATGGAAATACATGTTTAAACAGTATATTTCAATTTCAACTATAGTAATGTTAGTTTTACGGTCCATCAGTTAATGAAACACAATCCGCATCATTTCAGATGAGCTCAACCGTGTGCCTGTTATTCAGTATACATCGGGTGTAAGTTTTCCGTGACGCTAATTTTTTACCGTATAAGTGTGAAATTAATTGAAATGATAATCTCGTCAAGGTCACTCAACCAGTTCGTCTATTTGATGAATTTGAAACACTTTATCATATATCATTGTATAACTGGACACTTTTGATAAACAACCCTTAACATCAAGAAAGATATTATATATATACCAACTTCACAGTCGCCATCCTTTACACTGTGTTTGTGAGTGTAAGGAACGACAACTCTTGATTGATTTTTGCACTTTATCACAATCCGACTGGAGTTACTCCCCTTTGAGACAGAAAAATAGCTGCGGATATTACAGTTCCTTACCCTTTGTGCAAAAGCTATCATCTGAATAAATTGAAGTTTAACATGCGGATAATAATGTTCATCAAGCTGTTTTAACTTGTATAAATTATTTATTATTAGTATAAAATGGCTGAAGTCATTGGATCAAAATTGTGCTGAAATAATCCTATGATGGGAACATTTGATGAATACATGTACTGTACACTTGTTCACCCCCATATGCGACCGCTTAGCCCTCGGGGGACATGCCTGATAGAAGAGGGCGAATATAAACGTTTTTCCTTCTATGTACAAAAAAGACACAAAATGAACCGAACAACACAGATTTAAAAAAATGGTCGGCGAAACATTGGACTCCGGAACGGTAAGTGGGACTTTTCTTGTATCACATGTGGCACACGCGCGTCATACTGCCTTCCATAAAATCATTGAGCATCGTCCTCGATATCCACATCCTCGACATCCAGGGGTTACAATCACTTTCGCTCACTGCACCCCTGTTGTGGCTCACACCTTCATTGGGTACAGAGAGCGAAAGTGGGCGTAGCCCCTGGATATCGAGGATGCCCTGAAATATGTCATAGCAAAATCGAATGCTCAGTGGGCTCCATCTTGCTGATGAGACAAGAAGACTACTAGTAGTTCGATCCTTTGATGTACATCAAAAGAATCTCGCGGTCACGTAATGGTAAAAATTGACAGGCTTTCAAGTCGGGCGTCTCTCCTTTGTAATCTTCAAAGGACAATTATCAGCAAGCGATTGGTCAGGTTTTACCTGAGACCAATCAAACAGCTATCTTCGTGCCACAATTTTGCTATGACATATGCCACGGGTGCAGAGAGCGAAAGTGAGCGTAACCCCTAGATATCGAGGGTGATAGAGCATATGAACGTCACCAACAATCAAAGATACAACAAAGAGGTCTTTAATCAGTGATTGCTGGACGTTGAAACAGCATGGATAGATTTCATGTTACGATGATGACTGTACAAATTTTACAACGTAGATTGAAATTCCTCCAGTCGAAAACCCTTACAACGGAGTTCTTTTAAGCAATAGGACGCATATTTCTTGGAACTCTCGATACAGGCTCTGAACTGTTCCTCCCTGTACGTGTAAATATCGAAGCTGTTGAGGTTGAATATCTTATATGAGGAAAATAAACATAACTGTCATGAAATTCTTCAAGTTTGTGTTTTGAGGTAGGGTAACCATTATGACATAATGTATGTAAATGTCAAGATGTGAAGCTGGGGAAGAGGAATTTGTGAAACTTCATCAATAAAATCCGCATACAGAATTAAAGGATCAGGAAAATACCTCACCTTTATTTATAAAGACAGCTTCAGATGAAGAGGTGCGTAGTTTATTCCTAATGGAATACCGTTGAGTCTGTAGAAAAAGTCTTCATCCAAAGTCTGTAGAAATAGTCTTCATCCAAATTCAACAAAATGTGTCGTCCAATACTGATAGTGTGGTGTATTTGATCCTGGTATTCCATATAATACATTACAGTATTGACATTGTTTTGCTTTACAAATAGACAAGTAACTTTATTAGGAGCTTCACCACTTCCTATTTTTAGATTTTAGTTAATGCCAATTGTATGAGACGCGATTTACACTCAGCATACTGAATAGTCGTATATTACGTGGAGAATTTAACATGTTGATAAGTTAAGCTGATTAAAGGAATTCTACATCCTCCCGATGTGTTGTAGATTTTTTGGTCCAAAATCTAAGTTTAATTATGTAAGTCGGTCTTTTCATAAGTTTGAATTGTAGTATAGAGTACGGGGAGATGGAGATACAACCGGAAGAAACCACAATAAATCGTTGTTTGGAAGTCTGTATTAGTGTCCCTGTTGGTATATTAAATATTCCCAGCTCCCCGGGGATTTCTTTCGTCTTTTGTGTTTTATGACAAGGGGATATTTAAGAAACCAACACCGATCTGCTGCCCCCATTACTGAGAATCTATATCTTTTCCTTACTCACTTCCATTGTCTTGCCTTTAGGCGGTGTCTGCCTAGGTACCCGTCTTCAAACATGTTAACTCATTCACCCCTGAAATTTCTTAATAACCTATTCCAACCTTTGAATGGAAGAGTTCAAATTTGCCATTATGGATGAATGAGTTAAACACAAACAAACAGGCAAACATAGTCGTCACGGAGGTGAAATAGTTCGTGGGTTTATAGACTCGACCACTCCGAAATCTTATTCGCTTGAGCTTTTCCCCGTTTTTCCCATTTTTTACTAGAACAGTTCGATAGCACCCATATGATTTTGAAACTGATTTTTCCAGTTATTGCAGATGGTACATGTAGTTCTTTATAGATATTTTGGAAATTTGGAAGGAAATCTCGAGTCACGTTGATGTCGACAAAGCCGAGGACAAGTCTAAAACATCATCAAAGGGACTACAACAAAGATTGCACAAAGAACGATAAGGCCAAGGGGTTCTTTGGTAATTTAACCGGAGAAGCTAGAGAGCCCATGTGTAGGTAAATAATATGGCATTTAGAATGATGTATAAAATAGTAGATGAAGTCTTATTTTTCTATCTTTAGAGGTCTACTGACTCGATGAACGAATAGGATGCGTACCTAAGTTATTCCCTGATGTGTTGCAATTAAATTGTCAAATACAATAATGTACTATTTTATACAATTTTCCTTGCTGTTTCGTTGTCAGTACCCTGATTCTTTATTCGATAACGTGACATTACTTGGATTTGACCTAAAATTACATTACTTGTCGTCTACGAGGCAGAAGACGCTTATCCTTCCGGAACACCTGGTTCGTTTATATAATGCAGTATTCTCCTGCTGCCCTCTGTAGGGTATACGGTACAGAAACATGTCTGTGATGACGTCACTGAGACGCTAGATTAGAAGTTAAATCTTTATAATACATTCACAGAGTTACACACTGGACCACAGTGATTGAATCTATATGGACATTCTGTGCCAAATGATTGGATATAGTACTATAGTACATACTACTGCTGTGTATCCAGAATATCATCAGAATGATATATTTCTCCAACAAACGGGCATTTATTATTAGTATAAGATTATTAAGGTGTTTAAATTATTTGTACAAAAAGTATATTGGCATTCCAAATATATCGAAAAATTATTTTAATATTCATTTTTATATAAATTATACATGTAATATGAAAGTAATAAAAAATACCCCGGCATATAAGTTATCGATGACGTCATTTGTATCATAATGGACGTTTGAAAGAAATACAACAAAATATCAAAAATATGTTGTGTTCAGATTCATTTAATGAAAAATGCGTCACATTTCATCTATCGTAGAAAATATATCATCTATTTATGTACAATGTATTTACTTATTTGTAACGCTACATGAACAGTAGTATGAATCATTATGTTGAAATGAAAGACATTTGAAGTTTATTTACATTATTACAATAAACTCAACAATACAAGAATAGCTATGCTAATCTCAAGTCGTTCGGTAAAAGTCATGATGTCTACTAGATTTATCTCCCCTTGTATAGCTTTCCGGTGTTTGTGACTAGACTGCTTTAGACATTTTTAGTATAAAAAAAATAATGACTGATTGCTACTTATCCGGTCTCTTGCTTGGCTATTTGGACATGAATCAACATGCAAAAAAACAGTACAATTTTAGTTAAAGTATATACTGACAGCATGCTACAGATAGTTAATTGCTACATGTTATGTATACATGATAAATAAACTATAATACTGTATCAATAAAATATCGCCTGCCTTCAAGTGACTAAGTAAATTAATTCAAAACTGTTATACAACCTTGCCCTAAAAGTCTAGCAACCTTATTTCCCCATATAAGCGTCTGGAGCATTTTTTTCGTGGAGTAAAGTTTCCTTAAGAATCGCGAAAATTTGGCCCCGCTAAATAATAACCGTTACAGTACTGAGAATACAGGATTACTGACACTTGGTATAGAAACCATCAGAACATCCTCAAAACCCTAACATGATAGCAGAACCACCACACTGGTAGTGATTTAGTTTTAAGGACCAGATTCAAGTTATAATCTTTGAAAAGAAATGAATGATAAGTGTACTTTACCGGTGTGTCCACGCCTGGTTAGCTAAAGGGTAACTTATCTTTCATTTTTCAACAAGGATATTATCAGACAGACAGTACAAAGGTGTGCGTAAGGATGGCAATACTACTCTTAGTATAAGAATATCTAAATTTTGTTCAAATTTGAGACTAAAAAATATCATATATTTTGATATCACAGGCACGGACTTATAGTCAATGGAATGTAAGATGGTCATGAAATAGCAGAATACGAGTTCCTTGTTCGTTGATAGAGCTGACGTTCTACGTAGAAGTTAGGATCGACAATCTTATTTTGTATTCTGACGTTGGAAAGTTTGTTTATGACCCCAGTGGAGTTGCCATGGCACCAGGGATTGACCTTTGTCGTACGTTTAAATGGCGATTTGTGTTGTGTAGTGTTGATGTACGGTAATGGTGGTTCCTTTTGGGGTCTCAGGAGACGAGACTCCCCGAGAATCTTAGTCACCTGCGTGAATGCAGATTGAGTCGTCAGGGGGCGCTGCCGTCGCGAGGAACTGAAGTTACTCTGTGTCGCCCGAACAGGTTCACTACACGTGGTTATCGCAGAATGCATTCGGGCGAGGAAAGGGATGCTTTCTACGGACCCTTGGTCAACGCTTTTGCGTTTCCACCGTCTACTCTCTTGTGCATAGCTACCTACTGCCTGAACAACCGTTACATTTCTCTCTTTGGCACTATTTGAACATTTTCTGTGGTCTAGCAACTGATTTGTATGTTTCCGTAACAAAAATGATGCTTTTGTTCCACGTGATAAAAGGCCTGGCCTTTCGAGTTTTTCGGGCGCACACATGTAGGGTGAACTGCGTTGTGTTAACGACCAATAACCATCGTCAATGAGTTCGAAGTCGTGTCGCCTCAGATTATCACCGGAAAGAAACGATAAATTGTCCTCCACTTCTTTTATCTCATTTCCGCTGTGGTGTCCTGAGTCTATATCGTCGTCCTTCTTTACTTCATTTTGCTTCTTTTCATCTCCACCTTCCTCTCCCTTTTCACCATTCTCATTACCTTCACCTTCAAGTTCTTCCTCTTCTTCCACTTCCTCCTCCTCTCCTGGTACTCGAGGAAGGGGTGGTGGTGGAGGGCGCTTTGTAAACTTGTACCAGCGTGGAGTTTTCTTAGTGTAAGGAAACCAATGTTCACTTTGAAGGTCAATCAATTCTACAATGAAGTCATGGCCGTTTTCGTAAGCAATCTGTCGGCATGACTTCCGGTAACAGTCGAACCTCTTAGTCCCTGTCTTCTCCTCCTGGTGTAAGTCCTGTTAAAAATAAACAACAGCGTGAAAACACGTACACGGACAAAATCACAACTTAATGTTGGCTACATAGGGCAAGAGTTTTCTTTCTTTCTTTAATGAAGTTTACAGTTAAAGTACCATGTTTCTGTATATTCTTAAGAGTATGAAAATATACTCTTTAGTCTCAATCCTAACACTGGTTAAACTTTGACGTAGGGTATGGACATCCTATAAGTTCTAACTTAACACTTTTTTTGACACAAGGAAACTATTTATACGAGAGAAAACTTACAATCAAATCGATTTCGTAGTTGATATCAATACCGATATCGATCAGAAATTCCGCCATCCTCATCTGACCGGTTCTCATGGCAACCATCAGCATGTTCTCGTTAAACTGAGAAAAAAATCAACAATAGATATTAAATAAAGATGACGTCACATTGTTCTCGTTAAACTGAGAAAAGATTGAGCAGCTCATTTGTTATAAGGCTTACGTCACCATGCTGTCGTTAGCCTGAGGAAGATTCAACAACAAATACATTTGTATATAATAAAAATGAAATCAGCAGGTTTTCGTGAAACTGAGGAAAACCTCAACAGCAAATGTTAAATGAAAATAAGGTCGTCATGCTCTCGTATTTTTCATTCGATGCATCATTGTAAAACTCCATTAAAATATTGATTTATTTTAATTTATTTGAAGTTTGCATGTTAATAGTTATAGGAGAAAATGCCTAGAAATATCTACAACTGATGTTTAGCGGTTTAAGATCTCCAATTATGACCTAAATCTTTTCATAAAAACAAAATGTGTTATCATCTGTTTATACCTAATTAAACTTTTCTCTTAACAACTTTTTATTCTCCATTCATGACTCATTATCTCGGTTAACGAACATCGTTGTATTTATAACACTCATTTAGCTTTAACTTAAAATCGTCACCTTAGTTACGCATACACATAATCAGCAACTGATGTTAGTTACAAAACTTACAATGAGATGTGTATTGTTTAAAAAAAATGTGTCTTTTCACAACCGTTTCTTCTTGATCGGGATCTATTAGTGTAGACTTACCGAAGTCATGTTAATGTATGTTGGTGTAGACTTACCCAAGTCATGTTACGGTATGTTGGTGTAGACCTATCCAAGTCATGTTAAGGTATGTTGGTGTAGACTTACCCAAGTCATGTTAAGGTCAGCATTAGGTTTGTCTAGACAGTTCTGCAGGGTGGCTATATCCCCCTCGCACACAGCATTATACATAGCCTGCAGGAAAATAATGTATACAAGAAACTTTATTTAACGTCGCATACAGGTAAACAGGGAACATTAGCTCTTGAGAACTATTATTGCGACAAACATATGTAAAAATAACAATAACATATTATATTACAAGTAAAGGGAGATAATCACATATATTAATAAAAAAAACCCAGTAATAATCATCACAGAAAAAGAAAGTATAAATATCCCAGGTTTCTAAGTGATTGGGAGTCCCCTATCTACAAAGGCCCCCGGGATATATATATAAAAATAGAGTTAATATATGAAAATCAGTAAATGTGATCACAGATAAGTAGTATTCAGAATAAGTAAATAAAAGACATCGTTAATAGTGAATGAATACTTGTGTATCACACAAGAATTACTTAGGACTTAGAATTAAAACACTATGAAGTGGAATATACATACAATGCTAATATAGCAAAGAATAAAAATTGACAGAATATACACTATCACAGTGTGCCGGGCGGAAAACAGATATTAACCCAGTGGTGAGTATTGCTTGAGATTTTTTATGTAAATTGAGGGGATACAGCAAGATCGCAATACTCCGGATCCCATATTTCAAGAAATATATACTGTAAAACTGAACTGAATACATTTTAAGTGCCATCAAATTTCATAAATAATAAATATTCGTTACCAAACAATTATTTCTTTTGATACCTGAATAGTGATATTTAGTTGCAAATATTATGTTAACAACTTGAATGTTTTAAAAAGGTGAAACGCTTACTTAAGGCTTTGCGCGTTATTCCAAAGTACCTGACTTTAGTGGCATAGTTTCCAGAAGTTTCATTTGTATATTTTCAGTACTAGTATTTCATCGGGTTTTTTTTTGTCACAAACCTTCTTTTCTTCCTCTGTCATTTCCGTTTCCGGTTCCGTTTCTTCCTCTTCCTCGTCAATATGCTCCTCGTCGTCTCTTCCTTCATCGTCTTTAGTGGACATACCTTCGTCATTTTCCTTGCCCACATCTTCCTTATCGTTTTCATCTCTGTCGCCTGTTTGAACCGCTTCACTTTCCTTCATAAAAATAAATCAAGACATTTCTTTATAACTCTACTCATAGAGTTTGTCTTTAAGTGCATTATTGTCAAGTTTATGATTTAAATGACATTCTGGTTGTCTCAAGTGCGTATCCAGCCGGGCTTCAAACGTTTTCTTTGTTGTCGATGTGATGACATGATTTGGCATGGAAGTTCCAGTGTTTGACAACACTTTCTTTAAAGTCATACTAACTTATGTTAAATTGATTCTTTCCTTTTTCTTGTGGAATATCATGACCTCTTGTTCGTTTGTTATTTGTTTACAGAAGTGTCACAGCATCCATGTGTCATTTTGTAAACTTGCATTATATCTCTTCGTTATCTTCTGTTTGAAAGTTGTTAATTTTCGAGTATTTAATCTGTGTTGATTACTAAGATAGTTGGTAATTTTAGAGTTTTTAATCTGTTTTGATAACTTAGAGAAGTTGGTAATTTTAGAGTCTTAAATCTGTCTTGATTGCTAAGATAATTTATTCCTAGTATCTGGTTTGTGTATAAATATCTATATATAGATATAATCAAAAATATCATGCGATTGTTAGCATCACTATCCTTTATTAAAACAAAAATATCGATATGTTAGTTCTTTGATAACTTTAATATGCCGTTAGCTTCTAATATAAAGTATACCAATATTGTTTATACACTAAAGACCCGGTATTTAACCTCAACTGTTGCTTGATCCAAGACACGACTTAAGGAAAAACTATATACAAATATTGTAAATCCAGAATATAAGATAAGATTGACAAATATATTTCTTTAAAATGTGAAAGCAATATAATCAATAAGTTTCGGAATGGAGATTTCAGACACGGAGGAGTCTCACTGAGCAGAAGTCGGTACACAACATAGCATTCAATGAATACTTGCATGAGTAAACGTTTAAGTCGAAAGTTTTCGATTACAATTAGTCGAGACAACTTTAATGTTAAAAAAAGTTCTAAACATCTGTCGCCCGAAAAAAAGAAGATAGCAACTTTTTTTTACACATTTAAATAGAATTAAGAAATTGCAGACCCGGCAGCCACGAATGTAAACGACTTGGGTATCATATATCAGTTCAGAAATGAAACACATTTGCACGAAAACATTAATCAATTTGTTGATGACGTCACTGTGGACAGCTGCTCAAATAGAAAGCTCATATTAAAAAAAGTCCGCCAAATGTGTCGGTCAAATGTTCAAAACTCTGTACACTGACACTAAAATTAAAAATTGGAGAGAGCGATCAACGATTTATTCTTCTTCGACCTGGTCGTGGGAAAACTCGTTTCGCAGAACTTTCTCTGCATATGATATACATTTGAATAATTGTGTTGAAGTGAAACAGTTTGGATTGTGGAACTTATCGTAAATAAATTGTATCACTTTGACTGTTAATGCAATAGACTGCTGGAGCGCTGAGTATAGGAGTACGTACGAGTGTAACAGCTAAGGTATATGAGGGGGAAATACCGCCTTACTGGCAAGCTAGATTTTCCCTCATACTCCTTTGCTGTTACACGTCTCGGAGCTCTTTCAGTTATTTGACCATTTGATTGTTTTATGTCCAAATATTACACCCTTTTGAGACATAGCACACTCAGAGATTCTTTCGTCTGACAAAAGTGATAGCAAACGATGTCATTCAGGTAGTTATAGGTAATATTTTCTAGAAAAGTATAACAAAATATTATCGGTGGGGTTAATGTGCAGCTTATATTAACCTGAAATTTAAGTCTGATAGTTTGACCTTTTGGTCTAACAAAACAGATGTCGCTCTCAAATTAATTCAATATGCATATAATATCATGATCTTTTACAAAACACTACTTTTTTTGTTCATCTCCTTTTTCATCATAACCCATTTAAAAGGACCGTCAATTATCATATTATTAATTTTAATTATATATCTTGTGCTATAGAAATTGCCCACTTTAAGTTTCGAACGTACTTTATGCGATCAATTTGTAGTTTTAACATTTAAACCACCGAGCTTTTTTAACTGTTAACAATTGATCTTTACATCAACGTATTGTCTCAGTACTTTATTGTCAAGTGGATGATTTTCTCATTTATAAAATCATTGTCAACTACATCTGTTATATCATGTTACCAGTAATTTGTTGACACAAGCAGAATGCAAATTTAACAATGGTTTTAATATAGTGTTACAACACTCAACATAAATTCAAAATGGGCACAAACTGATAAAAGGACGAGAATCACCCTTTTAAATATCGTTTTTATATACACCTTCACTTATCGGTATCAATTTTACGACAAAAGGTCTAGTTCGATAAATAGATAGGATACTACAATTTTATCAAAAAACGTGTCCTGTTGGCTGACGTCAATGATAAATCATTCAAAGCTCATAACAATAACTGGGAAATTAAATAACCTCCAACATTGATCAGACAGGTCGGTCTATTGTTCAGGAAAAATGCAAATTCTCGTGTAACCAGTTACCAAGGACAATCCAGCCTCACTATTTTGTTAGAGCATAATCATGTGTACATTGTTTATATGTAATATTATATTAATGTTTTTTGTAAGATGGACCCTGTAAAATTCAGCAAATAATTGGTTACTGCGAATTACCATATTTTAGCGGATACATATTTTTTCTCGATAGTTTATTCTCGAGGAGTTCAATTATTCACTCAAGCTTACATTACGAGTACAGTTACATATTCATATTGTATGCTACATTGGGCTTTACACCTGTGTTGCAGTAATCTGTGTGATGGTTATCTCCCTTTAACATTTACTAATGGACGAATTTGAAACGTGGTTATATGTCATACAAAGGCGGGAATGCCCTTATGGTGATTTTCAATAGGTGATATCAACTAGTCCCTTGATAGTTTATGCTGAAGATAATGAACTTCTTTAAAAAAAAAAATCAACTTTCATGAAATGGTGACACATTTTTTGGAAATCACTGGAATTTCTAAATTATCCATTAAAACATCACTTCTTGATATAAAATCATTTTTATATGTTTAAGATTTTTTTATGAAAATAAAATTTATGATAATGAAGTCTACAATAACTGCTTGAGAAATAAAGATAGTTAAGTAAAGTTTATATGTTTAGTCTTGCGATAACAAGAAAGTCTTATGAATAAATATATGTACTTTTGCCTCGATTCTGTGAGCCACTTTGAAATAATTAGTTTTGCAAGTTGAAACCTATCTACCAAAAACAGGTTTTTGTAGACATTAAGATTTTGGCTGAACAGGAAAAGGTCAAACAACAATGTTAAATCCCTGAGCTATAGGCCGCTTGTCAAAGAATACAATTTGCTGGCAAATTTGTCAGTAATCATCAAAGTAGTACAAAGAATTGTGGATCATTACCGTAAGGACAAAATGCTTTCCAAAATAGAAGTTACATTGTAAGAACAATGTAATGACAGTTTAAATGTTGTATTCAACCTTTTCAAAGCACGATTTTAAAATTCTATTCAGCTGAGAGCAGTCTCGTTAGAGAAAATAAGGCCGTTTAATGAAACTGGATATTACGTTATACGGATTAAGTAAAAAAGAAATACAAGGTAAAGAATCGTCTATTTAATTATTGAGTTTGTCGATGCCAAACAAAACGAACATTTTACCTCACCATATATCCATTTCGTCAGTACAGAATTCGTCATTGGTACTTAAAGTAAAGAACATTGATATTCCAAGTGTAAAATATTCTAAAACATATGCAGAAAAACAGCAAAGTGTGCATAACAAATGCTGCAACAGAAAATCTCCATAATTTAAACATCAATATTTTGACCTGGTTCAGTTCACCTTTTGAAGTTAGATTAGGTTCGGTACACTGATATATGTGAGATTTCTCTTGTGTCGCGTTGAATAATACACTGATAAACAAATAAAGCAAACTGTTTGAAAAAACAATAGGCTCCTAGGGTTCTTAGTGATAAAAAAAACCAATAGGCTCCTAGGGTTCTTAGTGATAAAAAAAACAATAGGCTCCTGGGGTTCTTAGTGATAAAAAGCATTGTTTTTATGTACAAAATTACGGATTATAAAACTACCTTTATGATTTTTGTTTATGCCAGATTCTGTTAGAATTTTACCTAGCTGATGTTATATATAGAATTCAAATATTACGGAAGTTTGATGCTTTATTATTGTTTTAATTATAATTGTTTTCATAAATGTGAATATTGTCATTTTAGAGAACATTCAATACCCAAGATACAGTATTAACAACCCCTCCAAGGGTGAAATATGATCAAAATCAGTGGACCAATAGTTACAATAACTGCAATAACTACAAATTCATATCCTGTGCGAACTTAACTACACTTATAGTATTATAACGATTAATTTCCCATGGACAAATTGGACAGCAATTACGTGAAATGCATCTTCAATTTATAAACACTTTCCCAGATATCTACTTGTGATTTCTAATTTAAGCACTAAACACGATTTATTACAAAACTTTTAGTGCTGAAAGTGCTAACATATCATTAGGTTTTCTGACAACTTAGTGACTATCTTATAACTGTCTTTTTATCCGTCCTGGTTGAACGGTTTGGGTACGGTTATTTAAAGTTTGTGAATAGAAAAAACCGTTTTGCATCAACCAACAAATACTCTGCTATTGTACAAGGACATATCTGTGATTAAATGACATCATGGTGTGCAAATATCTTTAAGTTTTGTAAGGTCATACTTACAGATCTGAAATATTGTGACACGCTAAAGGCTAAAGATAACTCTACTATAAACAGACGAACAGTTTGAAACAGTCAGAGGACGATAACTACACATGGAGAAAAACAAACAAAAATAGCTCCACACGTATATATATCGTGACACGTTAAGTGGAATTAACTCTACCCACAGTGCACCCAGCTAGGGTATCACAACAGGATACTATACCGTAGCACAACAGAACTAGTCTGGCACATACACGGAAGGTAATCCACACTGAAAAACCTGTTAAACATCTTAAGGACCCCTATCACACTGCACTGAGGTTTTTCCATATACACGGTAACACCCCCTTGCTTTCGTTTTGAACATTTCTCGCTGACCAGTCGGTTAGAGCGATAGTACAACAAGCTGAAGTCCAGGGTTCGAGTCCCGGTCTAGTCCCACTAATTGTTTACATTCAGAACACTCTTGTTTATTACAATGTACAATTGTATATTTTGTTTATTTCATCTACTTTATCTTATTTATAAAAGTCTTACAAGGTATGGTGTTCTTTTCGGAAATAGTTTATGAAAGCTGAAGTCATGCCGGATAAAAAAATACTTGGGCAGTTGTAAGATGCTCCTTTAAGACGACGCTGTTTGTTCATACAAAATAACCCGTATTTGCAGCAAATGAATAAATCTTCACACTAAAAAAATAAACAAAAGAAAGATCGGGGTTGGTTATGGTACGATAATTTTTCCGTTTTACAGAATAATATCACACTGATACGAAAATCATTTATAAAGAAAGAAAAAAACTAAAACACTAACAACATAACTATACAACTTAACCCCATATAGCATTCTAATAATTTTATAAACGAAATAAAGAAAAAATCAAATATTCATTTTAATCTATTAATCACTCAAACGTTTAATGTCTACAAAATAACAAATTGTGACTTGTGATGCTATTATAAATACAAATGGACTACTAAATATCATTTCACAATTTTGACGTACCAGTTTCGTCCCACGAGTATTTGCAGACGTTAACCATGCTATCACATTTTCTGCTGTCCTATACATAGATATTCGTCTAAACTCCCCGGATGGCTTTCTACCTACTGCCATACGAATAACTCTATAAGTGCGCATTCGATCATAAAATTGTGATATCAGGTCACATCGAGTCACTGGTATTTGTCCTTTCAAAGTATAAAGAATTATTTCTTAAGCTGTAAACAACATTTAAAAGGTTCGTAATTGTGCACTCGGTCGGTATTGCCCATGTCGCGTCAAACTTAATAATCATTATATGTTTCTTTTTATTCCAAAATTCAATAAGTTTGTGTAAAAGGGAAAATAACTTAGCAGTTATCGACAACGTGTATGTATGCTTCATTACAAAACACGTTACGTATCGGACCTTTGTACAGAAGAAAGTGTAAACAATTTCCAGATAACAATCATTTATATATCTATTAGTTTTATAGACAGGTGTAAATATATATGTATTAAATACTTGAATTAAGCTGTTAACGACGAAAAAAGGGACGGATTACTTAGCATTTAAAAGTAATAGCTTTTCGTCAGCCACAGGTGGAGTGGTAGTGACTATGTTAAGGTTGGCTGTAGTATGTGTCAACTAGAAAGATTAGCGTGTTGGTTTAGTTCATATAAATAAAATCACTGAAAGAAACTCTTTACCTCCTCTGAGGCAGAGTACAAAAATAACTATTGAAATAGCCGGCTATGAAAGAAAGACTTACAGAAATACACCTGATAGGTAACTCTATTTGGTACCAATCCAGCGATATATACGTGTTATGAATATCATGAGTACACGAGTAGAGCCAAATCCCAATGTAATCAGAGCAAACATTCAGTTTTTCGATATACTGATTTCGGTTACAATTGATTGCCGAAAGTATGTCGACAGTGCCATTTATCGATGTATAGCGTCCCTGAACTCAAGAAGTGAAGCAATACAAATACAGAAGAAAGGTTAGGCACCCAACGTTTAACTTTGAGGGAATTGGGTTGAAACATTTTGAATGAACTGTTGGCTCAGACTAATAGCCATCTGTAAACACTTATCAACCGACATAAATACAAACTTACAGAAAACCCCTCCACCTGCTATCAACAGTATTTGAAGTGCCTCGATACCAGCCAGAAAGTGACGAACATTGATCTAGATTATTTAGTTGTCAGGCTAAAAGATCAGTAGATAAAATGCCAAGACCAGAGTCATTAGAATTGACATGGAACTAGAGTAAACTTTTTGAGGGGCCTTCAGTCAAAACCTTTTATGTCAGGATTTTTAAACACATACACGAAAATAAAACATTGTCATATTTGACAAGATGTTGCATCCCCTTACCTCAACAGGCTCTGACCGTTCAGTCACATTCTCCGATATGTTTTCCGTTGGTTGCAACTCATCCCCATTGTTTAAGTCCAATGATAGCTCATCGTCATGTTCACTTATTACGGAGTCACTAATATCCTTCTCCTGCTTGTTTTCATTCATTTTACCTACAGCGTTCACTAACGGGATTTCTTCCATCCTCTCTTGTTCCTCACATTTGTGATCAAAAAGGTCCTGTTCAGCGTCATTTTGTTTCGTTGCCATAGCAAAGTCATGACGATGTCTCACCACGATTCACATTTTACCTGAAAATATACAAAATCCAAATGAATTAAGTTCATTTATTAGTCTATTAACAAAACAAAGTTCATTATTAGTTTTTTTTAAAAACGAAAAAAAACACATTTCTTATTATGTTGGTTAGTACTGTACTTAGAAATAATATAACCATTCGAACTGGATGAGCTTAGGTTATTTTCTATGACAATAATGAGAGCAAAACTATTATATATTATATCCCAACCTCTCAATATTAAAACCGAGATATGTGCACAAAAATACCTGGTTCAGTGTTCTTAACCTTAACTGTCTCAATAGATCCCTATAACCGAATTACCCCAGTACATATAGAGACAAGCGTCAAACTGGTGGTAAGGCATGTCTGTATACACACTGTACACATACACTGCTGGGTACTGTAATGTATGATCGCTCTTCATTAATACTGCACATCGTCCCAGTATTCAGTGAGCATATATATACAATATTCCATATATAGAAAGTATAGCGATCGCGACAATATGTGGTTTAAGAGAATTTTGTAAATGTGGGATATGGGTTAAACTGGAAAACATGTCTTGAAAAAGAATTTTTGATAAATATCAAATTTTGTAAACTTTTTGATGGATAAAATTGTTTGGACGATTATAAAACGCACTTACACATACTTGTATCTTTTTGGCATCTATGATGATATTATGTCACTCACTCAGATATTTTTGGCGGCTTTCATGAGAGTATGTTTAATAATGAAGTTGCTTAGTTAAGAAACAAAATAAAGTGTACGGTGTTGTGTTCATGTCTTTTTAAAATGTTGAACGTTCAATTTTGGACCACAACTCTTTTCATGAATAATGACTCCCACATATTCCGAGCAACGTATTTGTCTATCAAGACAAACGTCTAACTACTATTATATAATATTAACAATACTGTACTTGAAACTGCATTAAGTCAAATAATTAGTGTCTACAAAGAGTTCTACATAGAAGCAAGATATCAAACATATTATTACATGGGTAAGAGGATTTAGGACCACTGTACCAAGATAATCAAAGGGGTAGACAGGGATTCGAACATCGGACCTCAGATAGTTATATTATCTCTCTTGCTGATTGAGCTAAGTGTTCGATAGAAGTATCCTGACCAAAATGTGCTACATATTGAGGAAGTTGATACGTTACAGTAGCTCATGACGCTGACAGATCGCTTACACGCATTTTAACCTGATATCAAACACATTGCACTAAATGGGCTAGCTGTTCGCTTAATTATTCGTCTGCAGCGAAGAAACAAAAGTATTAATAAAATATGGCTTCATTGAAAAGCTGATTCCGATCAATAGTGAGCTCATGAATTACCACCAAATACATTATACCTTACGTCTCTGAGTAATGTATAGCCCTGTACCATGTATAACGTGATTTAATTTCAGTTTTAAATCAATACACCATTACAATTTTATAAAGACACATTTTTTGTAACGTTTATTTGATTTTAAATTGCCGATCTACCACTTACGTACGTGGTATTTACACACGGTGGGTTTCACATGATTTTAAAGCGATACTCGAAAGAGAGGCATATATTTAGTTTCATTGAAATTTCAATTTCGGTTACAAGTACATTTGTCATTGTCGATTTCTAATGTTGATTTACCTACTGGTAGTGTTCGATAAAGTATATTGACAATCACATTTACACTTACATACTAGTAACATAATTAGTTTGTTCACCAACATATATTTCGATATCAATAAATTTATCCGGTAGAAATGATTGAGCAGAGGAAATCTTAATCAATTTGGTTTAATATCATCGTTGCTGTGTAGGAGTTTCATGTTTGTGTCAAAAGTGCTTCAAAGAACTATCTTTGTTTCAATAAATGTTTGAAGTTGTATCGAGGTTTTGGAACACATATCTAGTGGTGTAAGTGAAATATTACATGATATATATCGCGGGTTTTAACAAATGTGTCTGAACAGATGTTTGAAGTTTCTATTACCGCATGAATTATATGAAAACATCTATAATTGTTTGGAACGGTGGTGATATTGATTGATAATATAAATCTAGAGTAAGATATGGTTAATCAAGCACCTTTATATTCTATTATCTAATAGCATGTCATCAACTTCTTTGTTTTATCAACGAATACATTTTTCTGAGAGGCAATATTGATATAACGACCAGATCACTTCTCGTTTTATTTAAAAGTAGTTTCCTATTTCACATGAAGTTTTAAGATTTCAATACCTTGAAATGAAAAATCATCCAGACACACAGGTGTTGCTATCCCGATAACGACCTCTGACGATTAAATCATCAACTCAAACTATTCGCATGCCACTGTCACCACGGCTTCTTAGAGCCTTAGAGATCTACTATCTTATTCTAGCTACATTATACACCTATAAAGGTACTCCGGTCTAATATCCAATATCTGAGGGTTCATTAATCACAATTAAGTTCGCAGTCTTGTAAGTTAGATTGTCTGGTCGTCCTGGGTTGTCACGATGCTTGTACAGGTAAATTTCACCTGTACTGTCTGCCTGTTCCTGAGCTTTCAAGTGAGATTATATATCTGTTATGTACGGCTGATAGGTAAAAACGGTTCCTATATACTCTGTGTTATTTGCACATCAGAAGAGGCTCAATACAAATAGACCTGAATTGCACGGCACAATTGAAGTGATATATCATAACAATAAGTGGTCCTTAAGTGGCCTATCATTAAAACTGAGTGTGGGTTCGGGGGATTAAGTATGACAATATTCATAATATAGAACTCAAAGAGCAGAATATGAAATAAAGTCAAACTCTTTTCAACCTCATTGGAACATTTACATAAATAATGTGCAACAAACCCTGAAACGAGACATTGATTATCATTCGAGAAATATCAAGGTGATTATATATCCATAAACTACCTCATGACATTCACTTTAAAACGAATCACAATTGTTGTCAGTGAAATTGTATATTTTCTATGCATGCCAACTGTAATAAAGTATGTATTTATCTTTCAATTTGATTTTGATATATCAAAACAGGTAACTTTTTTAAAAGCATTATATGTATTTTAAATAAATTCTTGCACAGGTAACATAACAATGCTATATATTGAATCGACTTTGTATGGACAAGAACATAAAGGTTCCTCAATAATACAGTATTGCATGGCAATAGATCAAATTCTAGACTAAATAATACGTTAACAGAATCAGTCACTGCAATCAAACCGGAACAAAAACCTATCAACTCAAATTAAGTGTTGTAGATGTCTAACTGTGTCCTACAAGCTGAAACCGGATTCAAACTTGGACCTTCTTATCCAATTAATACGGGTGCCAAATTAAGCGAGGTAATTAATGTTGTATTCGCATAAACATGACTTCCTTGACCTAATTTAATTTGTCAAAGCTTTGCAAATTGTCTATTAATCTACAGGATTAATCAACAATGACCACGCGTGAATATACAGAATATTAACTCCTGACAAACAGTTTTGTGTAATTTTCATAACATATTTCAAATATGACAAGGTGAACACAGGGACAGGGAATGCGGGTGTTATATGATATATAAACTCGGTTATTTGTAAAGGTCATATATGTCCACATGCCGAGAACATGCACTGAATAGTTTATATAAAGACATATATATCTACAATGTAAAGTCTATCATCGTTACCTTGCTAAAATTTGTCCAGAAAGGTGATTGCAGTATACAAGGGTTGGATGATAAAGTTGAGGAGAGAAAATGATTGATAAGCAAAAAGAAAACCGGAAAAGTTTCCGAAGCGACGAGTTCTAGGCGGCTTAACATCGCGATTGTACTGTATGCTTTCTTCATCTTTCACAGTAAATGTACTGTACGCTTTTCTTTATCATTCACAGTAAGTGTACTTTCGTTATTCTTTACCATTCACAGTAAGTATATGTTCGGGCTGACGGTCAAATGTACTGTTCTCATACTATAATGATTAGGGTTTGACCGACACAACAATCATTATATACCGTCAATAAAGAAATCTAGGTAAAAATAAACAGCTTTTAATGGGTTTCAATATGACTAATCACAGGAAATATAACGTTTATTCTCAGGACATCAAATTCATGCACGCCCTCGTAATATATTTACATAAATAAACAAATATACAATGTTTTATTTACAGAAATATTGGTTCTTTTCTCCATGGAAGATGAATTTATCACGGGTCAATTTTTATAGATAATGCATATTAACTTTTTCTAACGGAAGGGCTAAACATTTCTAGCATGCGAATTCGTCATGATAAGGCAGGAGGGCGAACAATGAGGGTCACGTTTACTACTGTTAACGTAATTTATAATGAGTCATTTAAGGGGACCACTGCACGTGTTATAATCGCGAAAAAAAACTACATTATTTTACTTTTGGAATATTTGCCCTTGTGTAAACAATTTACTGTCATTCTTGGTTAGAGTTCTTTTCCCCTGGCAAGGTATTCATCTTTTATTTTTGAAACTATGCAATTTACATGAAAGCGATAATGGTAAAGTGTTAGATCAGTAGTTGATTGTTCACGAGTTCGACATCTTGTGACCAAATATTCAAATTTGTTAATCAAACTGTACTACACCCTAGATTTATAGAAATAGCTAAGCATTCTCTTTATCGAGGAATCTTAACTATAGAAAGATCCCAGTAAGTCATTCAGCAAATTGAACCTGAATACGTTTGGAGCTACTTGCTTTTACTGACGTGTAGGTATTAAGATGTATCATTGCAAGCGTTTAAACACAAGATAAAATCATATTAGCTTTATACTCAAATAATAGAGTTTAATATATTTATAAATATAAACCCGGGGAACTCTTTATACATTTTCTTTTAAACGTGACATTTAAATAGCAGTTTAAAAGAAAGAATGTTGCTGATTATTTCTCGGTAACGTACACAAATAATCAAAATATGTATCTTGCTTACAGTCTTTTATTAACATAAGTGAAAAAGCGGCTTCTCAGTTTTTACTGACAATTGATAATTCTGTTCCTATCCCTCGTCATACATAACATACTCTTAGTTTGTTCACCCTTAGAACTCTGCTTGAACTGAACGTGTAGCTCTGGAGTGTTTGTCCAACATAATTGGCACAGAATATTAGATATGACAAACGTATCTATATATTATACTCAAGTTTTTAACGCATATTAACACTAATGCTAATGAGAAAAAGATTCCAAATGAAACGAAACGAAAAAAGGTGACAATATAGAAATATGAAAATTATAAAAAAAAAAGATTCAATAAACCTAGTGTGCAATCAACAATGTACTTTCAAAGTCGTACCTTGTGTTGATTACTAATGAATTATACATATCATGTACTAGTTCAATTTTCCTGTAAACAAAACAATGTTTCAATACAACTGGGCCTCGTCAATCCAGCCACTATAATTATCCAGCCAGTGTTTTAAAAACCCTGTTTTAATTATTCATTAATTTAGCCGTTTAAAATTCAGCCACTTTGTATAAAGATCAAATAACGAGACTTGGCTGACTGCTTTCAATTACTTTTTCTAAATATAAAATAAATCTTATTATCTCTTTTTTACTTGACGCTAAATTAAATGCTCACATACAAAGGAAGACATTCTCATCCTAGTCCTGTTTCCTTACCTGCCGAGCCTTAACGGTCTGAGCCTGTTGGTGGATATTTGGGTGTTACGTTATCTAGCCTTAGAGTACACTGCCCGGTGTGAAGTGGTGCTACTTCTACTGTACCCTACCTCAAATCGATCGCCCCCGGTTACTATTGACTCTGCCACGAGTAGGCCGACATCTTGAAATATCAACGTAAACAAACTTCGAGAGAGCCTTACCGGTTGTGTTGATATGGACATTTAAACCTTGGTTTGGAACGATAAATCACATTTGTTCTCTTCAAACGTCCCTTTGTGGGATATTCGATCAACATTTTACTTCAAATGGTTTTCTGAAGAGCATATACCAAAAGATAAATGTTTTTTGGGGTCAATAATGTTTGGAAAATACATACATGTAGAAAAAAAAATATAATTCTAGATATCTGTGTTTGCGTTCACCGATATATAGCTGTATACTTGTTTTTTCTCCGGGTTAGACGTCATTGAAAATTAAAATATCAATAGGGAAAATGCCATAATGCAACAGTCAGCTGTCATTCAAAAGCAGCTCTGTTATTAAGATATTTTCGTATTTGTTTGAATCGCATTAATAGAGTGAATAACACGACCGAATCAATATCAGTAACCAATTAATCAATAGGCATAAACAAGTATTATATATATAGACATAAACAATTAGGTATATAGATAGACATAAATAAAATAAAATAAATATACAACATTTGATATAGCGCCCTATCTAGCTAACATAAGCCACTCTAAAACGCTTTACAGTACATAGATATACAATTTAATACAATGAATACAATTAGCATATACATTAATCAATACAATTTTGAGGAATTCGCAGGACATACACGATTGTCCTATCTTCCTTTAAAGTTAAAAACTATTTACAGTATTTTCAACAGTAGAATGCTTTTTCAGCTCACTTACCCAAATGAAATGCCGTTTCTTAAATTCCATAGAATTGACCAGAGGTAGTTCTTTCCGGTTTGCGTATTAAATCTATGAAATCCTAAGAGTGTGGAATATTTCCATTTACTGAACGTCGAAATAATGTTAGTTACGCATTAATCATGTAAATTCTTATAAAGTTGATTTTATGAATAACCACATCAAATTTAAACCAATATTTGTATGTCCAGTTCCATTTTCCACAAACAACGACTGATCAAAGTAATTGTGGAAACAGAAAAAGTCTCTATAGCGTGCAGACGTATTACGCTAAGATTGCAAATAAACAAATTGTTCCAGCTATGCTGAGCAACACTGAATTCAGGTACCTTCACGTACCGACCGATTCTCTCTAATAAAACGTATATACTAATACACCAACCTATATTGACACTTGTTCCCACCATATAGACCCGTACATATCACACACACACACCTGCATTCTCTATCATATACAGTGATTGAATTCCGTCCTACTTTGAGACTTAACAAAATCTTAAAGTAAATAAACTGTCCTGTTGCCAATTATACACCTCTAAATGGTAAACGCTAGCTACCCCTTCTGTGAAATAATGTTCTCAGCCCAATAGAGCTGCAGATATCCATGTAATTATATGTAACTCCTTAAAGAATGAATAGGAAATATTCACCTGGTACATTGTATTACTTAAAATCAATACCTTTTCAGAAAAGATAAATTGTGTTTGACAATGTTAATTTTTAATCGTTTCGAAATTCTTTAATTTCTCATAGGAATTCACTGATTCTCTGTATTGACAATATCCGATAGTTATTTTTATTTTACATCTTTAACTTCTGAAACTTTTGTAACCTTTTCAGTCCACTTGAGCAATGAATATAACTAATGGGTTACAACTGTCATTTTTTCCATAATTAATTTCTGATTGTTTAGGGTTCATCGGTTCATAGAAACATAGCGTATTATCCTCCAGAAAAATAGTATTCGCGTAAAAAATGCATTTATGATTATTTATTTTTTGTTGAAAGATGAAATAAGCACTCTAAATTGATCAAATTATCTGAATTAAGATTGATTTTTTTGGAAAATACAGGGGAGTTTAATGTTGAGGAATTTACCGCATACTATTTTTGTGAATTCTTAATCGAATTTTATTTTGCACTTTCTTATTCAGACCATTTCTATTAGGGTCCTAATTACACCAAAAAGAGTCCGTTCTAGAATAAACAGCACTCTTTATTCTGAATAGATAGGAATTGTTATTTTGGTGGCTGTGATTTACGACAACAAAATAACAGTACATTACAGACCAGCACCGTACACAGACACACTATGAATCGGATACTTCTTTTGAACAAACAGATTTGTCACTAATATGATGACAATAATTGCTCCAAGTTTTACAATATTCACCTTCAGGCGTTACAGGAATTAAGCTTTTGTAAAACAAATATCACGAAGGCATGATACCAGGAAACGTTCGCCCAGTCAAATATTCGCCCTTCACATGTAAAATATATATTCGCCTAGCGTTGATTTCGCCTTGGCGAAATAGATGAAAGGTTTGTTTTGTGTACAAGGGAAAGACGAAACTGATCGTCTTTTCCTCAAAGTGTCAGGAAACAATGGCTCTCCAGCTCAAGGTCGGTGCCAGAACTACTGAGACTGTCGCAGCTGTTAAAAACCTAGGTGTATACTTTAAATTACATTACGTAAATATCGGTTATGAAGAAACTGGGGGTGCTTTTCTATTTTTTCCTGATTTAATATCATCACAATGTGCAATTAAACATATTTGGGTTGAGAATGTGATATTTAATAATTTAACCTTTGTTTCCGTTTACTTCTGAAGATTAAGAATTTCGCTAAATTCGTTTCATAAATGGCCTACTAAGTGTATCGTTTGTTTTAGTGAATTCGCGTTAGGCATCGTTCACTAATTCAAGTATCGCGTGAACATTATTTGTATTTTACATAAGACGTAGATATTAAGGGAAAGGCATAGTCTATATTTAGCGTTACAGGGAATGATTATTGTTAGGAATTAATTTGGAAATTTTCAGTCTGACATTCTCCAATATATTACCAAGAAAAATATCAAGGACAGTCGTACAAGCTCCATCGATACGCAAACCACACTTTCTATTAATAAAGACAACTGGGGATCCCACGATGACCGGATGACGACTTTGTAAGCCAAAGTAAACACTTTTTATGTCTTAATATCGATTAATAATATTTTTGTTTCTTTTCCCACACAGTTTGTATATATTGCCTTCACATAGTTCTGATTTTTATAGAAGTTTTCTGTCATATTTGTTTTATTATTTGATGACACCTGATCATGCATCTAGATAAACTATTTATAATTCTTCACAAGAATTCCTCAGAAAATTAGGGTCCCACGTCCCACAGCACTCCTCGCGTTTACAACTCACGTACTTTATCTTTGAATATTTTGCGTTAGTCTATCATGAATTTGCAGGAAATTTAATCCAAACTATGTTATCACGTACACTTATGTGAATAAAAATCATCTTTTTACTATATATTACACATTTCAGCAATGACCTTTTTTTTTTTTTTTCAGCAATGACCTAACCAGCAGTTTATTGGACCTGCATTGACAACATTGCTTGTACTAATCACCCGTAGGTGTCTTTTGTCGTTACAATCTTAGTGATGAATTTATAGGTAAATCCTTTAACGTACAATACAATAATATCACAATGTCACTAGCTTGAAGGACTCATTTCTCAAAAACTAAAAGTAGGTATTTCCAGTTCTGCCCACGTTTCAAGAACGGGTACTGTGGTAGTTTGACGAAATGTCTGTAGGTTTCAAAGAATTTGGAAAACCCGGACACAGAAAGTATAAAGGGTTATACGATATGAGAGAGAGTTAGCGTTCCAAGTTAACAGCAGTTTGACAAGAACATTCGACGAACAAACATGGAACCTCACTCTGTCATACTTATTTTTGCAACACTGATGACATATCATGTCCTTAGCTCCTCGTCTGATGTGGACAGCGGCTCTACGGCTCAGTTTGTGTACAGCGTTGGCGACCCTCAAAGATGTATGCAGAAAATCTTGAATAAAAACTTACTACGTTATGAAGTACTACCAGGAGGCGGATGGGACAATTTACGAAACAAACATGGGAGTCAAGTGATATATTATAACTAAAGTCTTTGTCAAACTACAGACGATGGACAATATTTGTTACCAAACGGAATCTACACTGTACCATTAAAGAAAAGCTACTGGAAACATTTGCCGAGCTAATTACACATTGGCAGAACTACACGTCCACAACATCAAACACGATCAACGCTGAGGCTGGCTTCCATATTGAACATTTTGGCATCGGAGGGTCCTTCTCGCATGAGACGGGAAGTGTTCGTTCTCGACAAATGATGGATGAATCCGTGACCACAAAGGTTCAAATGAGGTATGTTCGATATTCTGCTAAACTTCAACCAGACACGGCCTTTAATCCGAAATTCAAGGCGAGGTTGTTGACAATTTCAACACTGATAGCAAAAAACGAAACAGACATGGCCCGTTACGAGAGCCAGCTTCTTGTTCGGGACTTCGGCACTCACGTCATCACCAGTGTAGATGCCGGGGCTGTGCTTGTCCAACAAGACCAGATAAAAACCACATATGCTCGTTCGTACAGCATGGACATGAGTAAGGTCCTTGTCTCCGCAAGTGCTTCATTCGAAAGTGTTTTTCGTATCAAAACTGGCAACAGCCATTCGACGTCGAATGAAATGATTGACCAGTATCTTAGTAACAGAACACATTCTGAAACAGATACCATTGGTGGGTCAGTGTTCCAACCACAGAACTTTAGTCTGAGTGACTGGGCCGAAAGCGTCGCAGAGAATTTAGTGGCCGTCGACCGAGCTGGAGATCCACTGCACTTCGTTATCACTCGAATGGCCTTACCAGAGTTACCCTCGTCTGTAATCAACGAACTTATCATACATGTAAAAAACGCCATTAATTTGTACTACAAACATAACATTTACAAGGGATGTACCAATTACGACTCACCCAATTTCAGTTTCCAAGCCAACGTTGAGGACGGAAGTTGTCAGAGCTTCTCGAACAACTACACGTTTGGCGGAGTGTATCAAAAATGCTTCATATCAGAAAACATGAAGTCTGACACGTGTGCTGATCTCCGACAGTTGAATCTTTTGACAGGTGAATACTCTTGTCCTGCGAACTATGAGGCGGTTATGATTGACAAAGGGATTAAACGTACGCCAAATACAGTAAATCGATGCCATGACTGTGGATTTCTTTGGTTGTCAACATGTTGTAAAGATTACGCGGCTTCCCAAACAGCGTTATACTTAGGATATTGGTGTGTATCTAAAGGTAAAGTATCGGCCAACACCGGCTATCTGTTTGGTGGACTGTACACAAGCACCATCGGAAATCCATTGACGGGTGGCCGAATCTGTCCTCCGTACTTCTACGCTTTGAAAGTCAGTAGTAGCTTGCGAGTTTGCGTCAGTGATGATTACGAACTTGGCTTCCGTTACTCTGTGCCTTTCGCGGGATTCTTCAGTTGTAGAACTGGAAATCCTCTGAAGCTGACGTCAGACGAAGAGGTTAAACACAGACGTAGTAACACTAACATGTTTGTTCTGAAAACTTTCCTGAAAAGCGCTGGGCCTTCTCATTGGCCAAGAGGCTGTCCGACCGGTTACAGCGAGCATATGGCTGATGTTGCAAATGGATGCGAAATATCCTACTGTATCAAGGCCAACGCTTTGAGTGGACATGGCCTGCCGACTATCATACGACCTCCGTTTATGGAAATTCCTATTGATGGATTTTCGGATAATTCCAGTTATAAAATAAGCGAGGACGGTATGGAATGGGAGAATATTGAAGGATCCGTGGAAAGTCAGAAGAGCGACAAAAAGACAGTAAGTGTGGCAGGAGTTGTGGCAGGTAGCGTCATCGCGGCAGTAACACTGATTGTAATCATCATCGCTTTTATATTATTAGGTCGCGTAAAAGTCCGAAATTCGCGGCGTCCCACGTCCGAATCTCGTCGTAAACAATCGGATCCTCCTAGCCCAAATATATATGTACTGAACAAGTCTCCCAGTGGAAACACTGAAGTATAGATGGTAACTTACATTTCTCAATATTCAATACTAACAACAGTTTCGTAGATTGCATCTTATTCTTAATATAGAAAAGTGAACAATACGCTATCATGTATGTTTACCAATTTCTTCTTTATAGCATTGTTTAATATATACCTGTTAGAGAGGGACAGATATATCTATATATAAGGGTGATCATTAGCGATGTTACCTCTTAAAATGTTCATGAGGGTGTGTGTTTCCTTTAAAACAATCCAGACATGAATAAACCACCCAATACAGACAATGATGACGTCATATTACATTCTTTTTAAACATGACACCAAAATTAATAATGCACTTTTAGGTAAGAATTTGTGGACTAACAAAGATTGTGTCTTAATTAGATTCAGTTACATTTAGTTTAGATGTGTTTAGCAAGAACTGTTCAGAGACTTCACTGCATTCCTTAATGCAACGATCTGTGTTGTAAGAACATTTTTAACCGGTTTTTTTTATATATTGATATGAAATGCAAATTAATTAGCACAGATCATTGCATCAACAATATATTGTATCTACAGTTCTTTTTAGCTTTCACTTTCAATTTTAGCCTTTTTAAAATATTAATTCCTCTCCATCGGAAATGTTGCTACAAACTAAAATCTTCGTTCATTAGTTTTGACACATATTTATTTTGTTTGAGGCAAATAAACTTAACGCGATAATATTTTAAATTTTTCATATTTTCCTTTTTCTCTTCATAATTTCCCTTTTGTTTAGAAATTTGAAAATATTGTTTGATGCAATGATTTGTGCTTATTGTTCTGAACTGTATTTACATCGGTCAAACTGGTTGTGAATTACGACAACGTATGACACTTCACAAAAAGTGGCCGTCTTAGATTTTTAACTGTAAATAAATATATACATTCTTGTACAAATGATAATTACCAAGTATTTTTATGTATTCATCTACATATGACAAATTATATTTAAAGTTTCATTATTAAAAAAAAGCTAGATGTTGTTATACTCACGCTTGTATCATTTTATAAGCATAATATAAAATCGTATTAAAATCGACCCCATTCCATTGTATTTGCATGAAAATCAAATGAAGCTTGTTTCATAAAAAAATCATGTATATTAGGAACTCGAACATTCTTATGTGAAATAAATGAAAATCGCTCTTTCTGTGTTTTCAGCATAGACAGTGAGGTTGTATCTAAAAATCAAGATCGATAATGATTAAAGTATTCCAGTTCATTGTATTACCCATATCAGGTAGATTAATGACCTCGTGTCGCTTACATTGTAAACATTAGGGGTAGTTCTGTTACCATTCTGATTTCTCATGTAATTTTCTTTGTGCAGAATCTCATGCAAAATTATCTTAATGAGAATAAAATGTGGAAGCAATATTTAAGCATTTTATATTTCCTCGAAGTTGGCAATCACTTAAGAATACCTTTATGCAATTTTTAATCGTTAGTCTAGGGTGACTGTCTCCTGGGAAGACCGATAATTTATTATTTGAGGTCTGAACGCTGCGATTGAGTCTGGGAGAAGCCATTTTTGAGTTGATCTGTGTAAGACATGCTTACTTCAGCACTTATCCCGTGGTATCGCGGAAAGTAGGGGCAGTTGAAATACGTGTGTCAGGATTGGAGGGTAATTTTATAATATTTTATCTAACATGTTTTTGTGATTTATTCATGAATGTAGGTCGCTATATTAAATTCGAGTTTAACGAGTGTTAGGTTTGAAAAACAACGAGCGTAGCCAATCAAATCTGGGCGTTTTCCCTTTCATCTCCTACGTTGTTCCTTTCGTTGAAGCGTTCTACCATAGCGCGTAGAGATCTACTGAGTTTTGCATGGTTAGTTGTTGACCGTTAGTTGTTGACCGTTTTATTGAATTTAAGGCTAAATGTGATTTACTTTAAATCTTTTGATTACTCTGACATCATTGTTTAGTTATTACGTGGACACGATTAGAATATTGAGTAGTCTATCACAAGAGCTGTTCATTCACATTTTTAGGGTGGTTTTAATTGAGAGCTTTTTGTTGTGTAAATTTTGTGCTAACCATTTGTATCGGACTAAGTAGGCAGCGTAATTAGAATATGTTCGTATCAATATTGTAATAACTTGATTGTTCTTGCTATATATTCACACACTAGAGTGTTGTTTTATTAGCGTATCACCGTTAATTGCAATTTCGGTATTTGTTGTATTGCTTGTGTATTTGTATGAGAGAATTGTATTTCCAGGAGTGTGGTGTCTATATTTTGTATTTGTATGAGAGAATCTGAGATCCAGCAGTGTGTTGTCTTTATTGTTTATTTGTAGGAGAGAATTATTAGAGAGATTTTTTCCTTATATATTGTATTTTTCTTTATTTGTAATAAACTATAACCGGAAAGGTGTGTGTAAACTTATCTTATGTATTTTAGTTATTTTTAGTGATGAGGTTACAGGGTTTAGGAAATATAATTCTTTAGGGGCGGATGCTGTCAAACCGTGACGTAAATAATTATATAATGGCAGTATTCAGCCATTTAAACCAAGGTATGTACACCAAAGTCAGGTCACAGTGAGGATATAGTGACCTACTTCTTGCACTCCGACATCCCAAGATGACCTTGTATACCACATCTGGTTACTCCAGGTGAAAAAGTATGAAAGAAATGCCCCGGACAAACGTTTACAAAAGTGAAGGTCAAAGGTCAAGTCATAGGTCACTGTGCCCTCCGTCATCCCAAGATTTCCTTGTACACCAAATCTTGTTACTCCAGGTGAAATAGTACAAAAGATATGCCCCGGACAAACGTTTTCAAATGTAAAGGTCAAAGATCATGGTCATAGTTCACTGTGACATAATTCTTGCACTCTGCATTCCGCCATTTCAAGATGTCCTTGTACACCAAATCTGATTACTCCAGGTAAAATAGTAAAGAAGATCAGCCCTGGAAAAACGTTTTCAAAGTTAAGGTCAAAGGTTAAGCCATTGGCCACTGTGACCTTTTTCTTGCACTCTGCACTCTAACAACCCAAGATGTTTTTGTACACAAAATATGACAACTCCATGTGATATGTTGTGAAAAGTTCTTTTTTACACAACCAATAACATTTTCTATGTGACGTTTCGATGACTAGTACGATATGTACACTGTCACCTTCATCAGACAAATGACCAGTGAAGCGTATGCACATAAAGGTGTAAAATGTGTACGAGTTGTCCACAAAATCGATGTCGATTTCGGCTAGGCTGTAGGCGTATGTACAATAGTTGTTATATATGTACCGAAATGACTCGATCCGGCTAGCTAGCATCGGTACATATATAGCATACGTAATTGGGTCCTTTGTTTAAGAGAATTCGAGTTAGGCATCGTTCTCTAATTCAAGTATCGTGTGAACGTTATTTGTAATTTATATAAGACGTAGATAATGAGGGAAAGGCATAGTCAATATTTAGCATTACAGGGAATGATGGGAGTAAAAAAAACATTTTCAGCTTGAACTCCTTGCAGACGATAACAATCTTCATGAACACATCACCAAGTAAAATGTTGGGTACAGTTATACGTGCTCCATTGATTCGCATACACACACCTACTGTTAACAAGGACAACCGGGGAATCCCACGGTCATGGGAGGATGACCATGTAAGCGGAAGTAAACACGTTAGGTATTTCCACAACAGTAATAAAGTGTATGATAGGCCCGCGTACACTTTCGGTACGTGTGTCACTGTGTGTCACTGTCAGATCCCTGTTATAGATGTCCTGTAAACGTTGGCAGTCCCTTACATTATATATGCTATTATCGTTTAATGATATGTTTGTTTCTTTTCCCACAAAGTTTATATATATTGCCTTCACCTAATCATGATTTTAATTGAAGTTTTCTGTCATATATGTTTTACTATTTGATGACACGTACTGGTCATAAAAAGTACGGTTCTACGTCGCGAAAATGTTACTTGAGTTCTATTCAAACATGTAAATGTTTTTTGTCAGAAAGTAAACTGTCATGTAGCCGCTGTCGAAAGTACTGACAGCAGTCCTTGGTTTGACAACTCACTCGTTAGCTCGTACATTCGCTTTCTGTACAAGCTAGTGTACGTGTGCAGTCCCTCACTCGTTCACTGTTCGCGGAACTCACAAACTTTCGCTTTCGAATACAAGATTTACCGATAACCCCAGATGATTTTGCGTTAGTCTATCTTAGATTTACAGGGTATTTAATGCAAAATCATGTTATTACATACACATATGTAAATAAAAAAAACCGTTTATATGCTTGATTGCACATTTCAGCAATGACCTAACCAACTCTTTATCGGAACTGCATTGACTACGTTGCTTGTACTAATCACCCATAGGTGTCATTTGCCGTTACAAATCGAATTGATTAATTATTCTATGGGTAAATCCTTTAACGTTAAATATAATATCACAATGTCACTAGCTTGAATGACTCATTCCTTTGTGATCACAAACTGAAAGTAGGTATTTCAACAACTGGCAGGTTGTATACTATACTGCGAGCATGTATGCAGGTCACTAAGTATGTGGAAAACCCGTATGTTGTAACACAGGAAGTATAAAGGATTATACGATATAAGAAAGGCAGTTTGACAGGGACTTTTGACAAACAAGCATGGAGGCCCGCTCCGCCATACTTGTGTTTGTGACACTGATGATAGTTCGCGTCCTTAGCTCCTCGTCTGATGTAGACAACGGTTCCAAGACTCAGTTTGTGTATAGAGCAGGCGACCCTCAAAGATGTATGCAGAGAAGCTTGAACAAAAACGTTATACGTTATGAAGTACTGCCAGGAGGCGGATGGGACAACTTACGAAACAAACATGGCGGTCAAGTGATTTATTATAACTACAGTCTTTGTCAAACTACAGACGATGGACAATATTTGTTACCAGACGGAATAAACACTGTTCCATTAAAGAAAAGCAAACTGGAAACGTTCGCCGAGTTATTTACACATTGGCAGAACTACACGTCCACAACATCTAGCACGGTCAACGCTGAGGCTGGCTTCCATATTGAACATTTTGGCATCGGAGGGTCCTTCTCGCATGAGACGGGAAGTGTTCGTTCTCGACAGATGATGGATGAATCCGTGACCACCAGGGTTCAAATGAGGTATGTTCGATATTCTGCTAAACTTCAACCAGACACGGCCTTTAATCCGAAATTCAAAGCGAGGTTGTTGACAATTGCAACACAGATAGCAAAAAACCAAACAAACATGGCCCGTTACGAAAGTCAGCTTCTTGTCAGGGACTTTGGCACCCACGTCATCACCAGTGTAGATGCTGGGGCTGCGCTTGTCCAACAAGACCAGATAAAGACCACATATGCTCGTTCGTACAGCATGGACAAGAGTAAAGTCATGGCCTCCGCAAGTGCTTCATTCGGCAGTGTTTTTGGTATCAAGACTGGCTACGATCACTCGACGTCGAATGAAATGATCGACCAATATCTTGGAAACAGAACACATTCTGAAACAGACACAATTGGTGGGTCAGTGTTCCAACCTCAGAACTTTAGTCTTAATGACTGGGCCGAAAGCGTCGCAGAGAATTTAGTGGCCGTCGACCGAGCTGGAGATCCACTGCACTTCGTCATCACTCCAATGGCCCTACCGGAATTACCGTCGTCTGTAGTCTACGAACTTATCATGCATGTAAAAGATGCCATTAATTTGTACTACAAACATAACATTTACAAGGGATGTACCAATGCTGACTCCCCCAATTTTAGTTTCCAAGCCAACGTCGACGACGGAACTTGTCAGAGCCTATCAAACAACTACACGTTTGGTGGAGTGTACCAGACGTGTTCTTTGTCTGGAAATATCCGGTCTAACACTTGTGCCGATCTCCGACAGATGAATCCTTTGACAGGTGATGACTCTTGTCCCCCGAACTATGAGGCGGTTATGATTGACAAAGGGATTAAACGTACGCCAAATACAGTACGTCGATGCCATAGCTGTGGATTTCTAGGGTTTTCAACATGTTGTGGAGATTACGCGGCCTCCCAAACAGCGTCATACACAGGATTTTGGTGTGTAACTACAGGCAAAGTCCCGGCCGACTCTGGCTACCTGTTTGGTGGACTGTTCACAAGCACCATAGGGAATCCTTTGACGGGTGGCCGAACCTGTCCTCCATACTTCTACGCGTTGAAAGTCAGTAGTAGCTTGCGAGTTTGCGTCAGTGATGATTACGAACTTGGCTACCGTTACTCTGTGCCTTTCGCGGGATTCTTCAGCTGTAGAACTGGCAATCCTCTGAAGCTGACGTCAGACGAAGAAGATAGGCACAAACGTAGTAACACTGACATGTTCGTTCTGGAAACTTTCCTGAAAAGTGCTGGGCCTTCTCATTGGCCAAGAGGCTGCCCGACCGGTTACAGCGAGCATATGGCTGTGGTTGCCAATGGATGCGAAATATCCTACTGTATCAAGGCCAACGCTTTGAGCGGAAAGGGCCTGCCGACTATCATACGACCTCCGTTTATGGAAATTCCTATTCACGGATTTTCGGACAATTCCAGCTTCAAGATAAGCGAGGACGGTATGGAATGGGAGGATATTGAAGGATCCGTGGAAATCAACACTAACTTTGAATCAGCCAGTCAGAACAGCGACACAACTGCAGACGACGGCGAATTGTCACGTGGAGCAGTTGCCGTCATCGCGATGGTAGCAACAATCGCGGTCATCGCGTTTGTGTTAATCGTTGGTACAAAAGCCCGGAATTGGCGCCGTCCCACTTCCGAATATCGCCGCCAACAGTCGGATCCTCTTATCCCGAATCAGCAGGTAGTGTACGGGTCTTCCAATGAACACACTGAAGTACAGGTGGAAACTTAAATTTCAATACTAACAATATTGTGTATATAGCATCTTATTCTGAATATGTCATTTTAGCATTGTTTAATATCTGTGAGAGAGGGACAGATATATATTTAAAGATAAGGGTGTGATTCTTACCAGCTCTCCAGCGATGTTTACTCGTAAATGTTCACGAGGGGGTTTCCTTTTAACAAATGGAGTTGACATGAAAACCACCCATTACAGTACAGACCCATTACAGTACACACCCATTACAGTACACACAATTATGACGTCATATTTCATTCTATCAAAACCTGACACCAACATAAACAATGCGCTTAAAGGTTGGAATTTCTGGACCAACGAAGATTGTGTCTTAATTAGATTTAGTTACCGGTATGAGTTTAGCAACAAACTTGTCACACGCATTCACTGTATTCCTTAATGCAACGATGTGTGTTATATCATTTTAAACCGTTTTCTTAATATATTGATTGACATTGGTTGTCTTGACTCTCCTTGTACAGTATCTTCTGTAGCTTGATATATAAATATAACATGGTAATTAACATTTGCACACTAATGTTTATGTTTATTTTTAGTCAAAAATCTAAGATGAACACTTATCTGTGAAGTTTCATACGTTGCAAAGCCAGTTTGTCTTAAATATAATGAAAATGATTAGCACAGAACACTGCATCAACAAAATTATTAAATCTACAAATCTTTTTAGCTTTCACTTTCAATTTTAGCCTTTTTAAAATGAAAATCCCTCTCCTTCGGAAATGTTACTACAAACACCTCATTTTCGTTTATTATGTTTTGAGACGTATTTATTTTGTTTGAGGCAAATAAACTTAACGCGATAATATTTTAAATTTTTCATAATTTCCTTTTTTCTCCTGATAATTTCCATTTGTTTAGAAATTTGAAAATATTGTTTTATGCAATGATTTGTGCTTATTGTTCTGAATTTTATTTACATCGGTCAAACTGGTTGTGAATTACGACAACATATGACACTTCACAAAAAGTGGCAGTCTTAGATTTTTAACTGTAAATAAATATATACATTCTTGTACAAATGATAATTACAATGAAATTTCTACAGATGATGATGTTCACAGAGAGCCAAAAGAATCATTGTCAATCATTATATTACAAATTTGGTGGGGATTTTCTTACAGCAAAGATCGTTGCATTATTAAATAAAGCTTGAAACTATTCTTAATTTACTTCTTATTAATTTTTAATTTGTATATGAAATAACAAGATCTATAAAGATGAAATATTCCATTTTAAGGTATTACCCATGTCGGGTAGACGAATGACTTCATGCTTCATTTACATTGCATTGTAAGCATTTGGTGTATTACTGTGCCGCCTCTGCTTTCTCGTGTAGTTATCATGCGGAATCTCATACAAAATTATCTTAATGAAAATAACATGTCAAAGCAATGTAAATCTGATTTCAACTGATATACTTTTCTTGAACATTATAATTATTAAGCATTCTAAATTTCCTCGTGGCTGGCAATGACCTAAGAATACCTTAATGCTTTTTTTAATCGTTAGTCTAGCTTGATTGTACCCTGGGAAGAGCGGTAATTTATTATTTTGAGTATGAATACTGCGATTGCATCTGGGAGAAGCCGTTTTGGAGTTGATCTATGTGAGACATGCTTACTTAAGCACTTATTCCGTGGTAACTCGGAAAGTTGGGGCAGTTGAAATGTTTGTGTCATGATTGGAAGGTAATTTTATCATGTTTAATCTAACATGTATTTGTAATATATGCATAAATTGAGGTCGTTATACTTTATTTCAGTTTAACGGGCGTTATGTTTGAAAAACAACGGGTGCAGCCAATCAAATCTGGGCGTTTTCCCATTCATCTCCTAGGTTGTTCCGTTCGTTGAAGCGTTCTACCATAGCGCGTAGAGATCTACTGAGCTTTGCATGGTTAGTTGTTGACCGTTTTATTGAATTTAATGGTAAGGGTGATTTACATTTAAATCTTTTGATTACTCTGATATCATGTGGATACAATTGGAATATTGAACAACTCTAGTGATAGATTACTGAAAGGAGCGAGGGGTTTTAATGTATATCCACATGTTTTTAGGGTTGTTTTAATTGAGAGCTTTTTGTTATGTACATTTTGTGCTATCGATTTGCATAGGACTAAGTAGGCAGCTTAATAATTATTTTAATAACTTGATTGATGTTGCTATATCTTCACACACCAGAGTGTTGTTGTATTAGCGTATCACCATTAATTGCAATTTTGGTACTTTTCATTGCTTGTATATTTGTATGAGAGAATCTGGGATCCAGCAGTGTGTTTTCTTTATTGTGTAACGGTATAAGAGAATTGTATTCCCAGCAGTGTGTATATATTGTATTTTTCTTCTATTGTAATAAACTATAACCGGAAAGGTGTGTATTAACTTTACTTAAGTGTTATAGTTATTTTTAGTGAGGAGGTTACAAAGTTTTGGAAATATAATTCTGTATGGGTGGGGGCTGTCAAACAGTCTGATGGTCGCACTACCTGTTTAAAAAAGGTAAAGCCAGAAAAGAAAAATCATTATAATCTGACGTGACGTCAATAGTTGTATAATGGTAGTATTCAGTAAACCTAACAAAATGTATAAATCAACCTAAAGGCACACATGCATCGCTATGTTATTTTAATTTTTGAGTTATACAGTTGGAAAGTTGTATCCTTTTCGAATTAGAGAATCGGAGTTCCTATAAAAAATCAAAAAAAATCTAATATCATATTTAAAAAACAAATGACGAAGCAATATTTGAAATCAAAGTCAATGAAACTATGGCAAAATATAAAAAAGGTAATATTCACACGAAGACTCCCTGAAAACATTACAAGGATTATAAGACCAGTTGTTCAGGATGGGCAAGTGTTTTTGCTTCATCGACGACACCTGCTTTGTAAGCCTATGTTCAAATATAATTAAAGTCACGTCCTCAAAGTGAGAACCGAGGGAATCAAAGAAACCACAAGGCACTCTGATAGCGCTTAATTACGGCTGACATCTCAAAGACTAATTTATCAAGACTTATTTATCAAGCTCCATAACTTCATGGATACCGAAAAAGTTTAATGGTAAATTTCCATTTTTGAATAAATATTAGAAACGAAAAGACCATTTTATAACTTTATTATATGAATACATGTACAATCATTTTGATTCCAAGGACATGCACATTTTATTTTTTAAACATTTCTCCCAACGATTTATAAACCCAATGAAACATGAAAAACTGAGTCTGACATATGGAATTTACATCAATAAGGAGGTATAATGATCATCTAACAATATCATAATGGACATCGAATTACGGAGATGACCAGCGCTGTATCACTCATTGGCCAGTGACCTGTTTGACCTTAAACGAGTAGTATTGACACTTACTTACAGCAGTAACGCGTATCTCAAAGATGTTTATAATTGTTTCTGTTAGTCATTATCATATCTCATTTAACAAAGACCATAACTATCAATTGCAATTAGCTGTATGAATGATCAATGTCCATGGCTACAAGTCCCTCACCTTATACATGTAATGTGATATTAAGATACACCAGCCAAAGAAGTTTGACATACACGAAGCACATTTGTAGCATTACGGAAAACGGGTGCTGTTTCAAATAAATTTAAAATAAGACTGAATATTCTGTCAACCCAAGGCAACATTAACTCGAAATTATGCAAATAGCAGTGAAATAAAAGAAAATAACAAAGATATTTAAGTTCATTGATTAAAAAGGAAAACGAAACACAGACGACCTTGACAACATTTCAGTAAACTATTATCACAATACAAAGTCCAGTCTGGATTCTTACTTCCTCGACGGTGCATTTTGACAAAATAGAAAGTGTTGTATTTAGCTCTACTGCCTACAATGTTAGTGTGGTCTTCACACGAACCAATATTTACCAGGAATACAGAGAAAATAACACTATTTAGAACCTCTATACAATGTAGAAATATAACACGAAGTCATCTGTCTTCAATATCGCCTTATTTAATTCGAAAGAGGCTTAAGATACAATGTCTGTCACAGAGCTATGTTATCAAACAGTATAGACTAGTGTGAGCAATAACTTTATTTGATTGTTTGTGTTCAGAAAATCGCAATACCTTACGGACACTTTAACTCAAATATATTTTTTATGTGTTTTCTTTCTTTTGTGGAGGTTATCAAATGACTTTTATATCTTAAAGCCTTCTGGATATTTACATATAAAATTTCGGGGTTTTGTCGTGTTATTAAATAGGTTGACATCATGTTATATATAATAACACGTGTCACATGTTTTTATGATTCATATCATCGTGAGCGGACCTTGAAAATATATACTTCCGGTTACACTCTCATAACAAAGCGGGAAATGTCAAATTACCACATCTAGTACACAATATATCACTGCGAGCGTGTACTTGTGCTACATATCACATGACCCATCTGTTCCTTGTAGAACAGGAAGCAAACGGAAAGACGATATAAAAGGGAAGAAAAGTTTCCCGTAAGCGGCAGTGGGAACGCCGCTATCAACCAGCAAACATGGGGTACATCTACCCCATACTTGTGTATGTAACTCTGCGTATAATCGTCGTCATAAGCTCCTCGTCTGATGTCGACAACGCATCTTCGGCTATGTATAGCGTTGGCGATCCACAAAGGTGTCTGCAGAGAAGCTTGAACAAAAACGTTATACGTTATGAAGTACTGCCAGGAGGCGGATGGGACAACTTACGAAACAGACATGGCGGTCAAGTGATCTATTATAACTACAGTCTTTGTCAAACTACAGACGATGGACACTATTTGTTACCAGACGGAATCTACACTGTGCCTTTAAAGCAAAGCAAACTGGAAACATTCGCCGAGCTGTTTACACATTGGCAGAATTACACGTCTACAACATCTAGCACGGTCAACGCTGAGGCTGGTTTCCATATTGGACATTTTGGCATCGGAGGGTCCTATTCGCATGAGACGGAAAGTGTTCGTTCTCGACAAATGATGGACAAATCCATAACCACCAGAGTTCAAATGAGGTATGTTCGATATTCTGCCAAACTGCAACCCGACACGACTTTTAATCCGAAATTCAAAACAAGGTTGCTGACAATTGCAGCACTGATAGCAAAAAACGAAACAAACATGGCCCGTTACGAGAGCCAGCTTCTTGTCAGGGACTTCGGCACCCACGTTATCACCAGTGTAGATGCCGGGGCAGCGCTTGTCCAACAAGACGAGATAAAAACCACATATGCTCGTTCGTACAGCATGGACAAGAGTAAAGTCCTGGCCTCCGCAAGTGCTTCATTCGGCAGTGTTTTTAGTATCAAGACAGGCTACAAACACTCGACGTCGAATGAAATGATCGACCAGTATCTTGGTAACAGAACACATTCTGAAACAGATACCATTGGTGGGTCAGTGTTCCAACCACAGAACTTTAGTCTGAATGACTGGGCCGAAAGCGTCGCAGAGAATTTAGTGGCCGTCGATCGAGCGGGAGATCCACTGCACTTCGTCATCACTCCAATGGGCCTACCGGAGTTACCGTCGTCTGTAGTCTACGACCTTATCATGCATGTAAGAGACGCCATTAATTTGTACTACAAACATAACATTTACAAGGGATGTACCAATGCTGACTCCCCCAATTTTAGTTTCCAAGCCAACGTCGACGACGGAAGTTGTCACAGTCTTTCGAACAACTACACGTTTGGTGGAGTGTACCAGAAATGCTCCATGTCAGGAAATATCCGGTCTGACACTTGTGCTGATCTCCGACAGTTGAATCCTTTGACAGGTGAATACTCTTGTCCCGCCAACTATGAGGAAGTACTCGTCGACAAAGGAAGGAAGCGTACGCCAAATACAGTACGTCGATGCCATAGCTGTGGATTTCTAGGGTGGTCAACATGTTGTGGAGATTACGCGGCCTCCCAAACAGCGTCATACACAGGATTTTGGTGTGTAGCTACAGGCAAAGTCTCGGCCGACTCTGGCTTCCTGTTTGGTGGACTGTACACAAGCACCATAGGAAATCCTTTGACGCGTGGCCGTTACTGTCCTCCATACTTCTACGCGTTGAAAGTCAGTAGTAGCTTGCGAGTTTGCGTCAGTGATGATTACGAACTTGGCTACCGTTACTCTGTGCCTTTCGCGGGATTCTTCAGTTGTAAAATTGGCAATCCTCTGAAGCTGACGTCAGACGAAGAAGATAGACACAGACGTAGTAACACTGACATGTTCGTTCTGGAAACTTTCCTGAAAAGTGCTGGGCCTTCTCATTGGCCAAGAGGCTGCCCGACCGGTTACAGCGAGCATATGGCTGTGGTTGCCAATGGATGCGAAATATCCTACTGTATCAAGGCAAACGCTTTGAGCGGTGAAGGACTGCCGACAATCGTACGACCTCCTTTTATGGAGATTCCCATTACTGGATTTTCGGATAATTCAAGTGTCATGATCAGCGAGGACGGTTTGACATGGACCGATGTTGTCGAAAGTCGCAATGGCTTCGAAACAGCCAGACATACCGCTGACAGCGGTGTAGAAACCAACGACGGCGTTTTGTCACATGGGGCAGTAGCCGCTATCGCAATAGTCGCAACGATTGCGTTCATGGCGTTTGTGTTACTCGTTGGCACGAAAGTCTGGAAATGGCGCCGTCCCACGTCCGAATATCTCCGCCAACAATCGGATTATCTAATTCCAAACCGACACGTTGTGTATGGAGCGTCCGATGAACATTCCGAAGTGCAGATTGAATCTTAATATGAAACCCTTATTTTAATGTTCAAGACTGGTACTAAGGTTTGTGGATCGTGACAAATTCCAGTGAAAGAAATGTTACATGTATCATTTACATATCGTATATCTTCAAACTGGATCATGTGACCAGCTCTATTATAGACTATTCTAATAAAATAAATTTGTGGTTAGAGACGATCTGTGAAAAAAGACTACATGAGTTCCTGAGGATCGTCTCTAAATACAGCTTTGAATGTATCAAAACCAACTCGACTTCTTCCATTGTCTACTTTTATATTTGTATATCTATTTATGTGTCATATAGTCAGTGTGAAGTGTTGTACATATTTCCTGATGTAAATAATGTAAATCCACATGCCGGGTAGACTAACACGAGAATAATAATTACATCATGTTGGCATACAGCCATTTTAAACCTAACAATTATAATCAACACTAAATTTTGTGTGTTATAAATGCATTTTTATCAGGTTGTTATTAGGAAATCGATTTTCAGAAGTTTGAGATAAATATCATATTTCACTTCACAAGCATGCCATTATATTAGATGTACGTACAGTACAGTATAATTAATTGACGGGTTATAAAACACAATGTTATCATAACCTAAGAAATATTAATTACATGTACGATGGTTTTCATCATTGCACACAATGTTATCGATTATTGAAAAAGGGATCAGATCCAATTCATCAATTTTTTTATCATTTTTTTGTTTTTTGTATATATTTTAGTTTTATTATGACCTTAAATTGAAAAGTGCTTATGTTTTTCGGTCACTTTAACATTTTTGTTAACGCAATATTGATTATATACTTATCATTTATACATGCAATTATTTTTACAGAAAGAATAAAGCTTTTATTAACATTATCTATTATGATATTTGCGGAATTCCAATATCCTCAGCGACAATTTAGATTGTGGTTAGCTTATTTTGTATATATATAACGCTTTACCTGCTAGTTATATCTTCCTGTTCAAAGCTTATCATAACGCTATTGAATCATTAATATCTAAAACAAAACTTCCTCATAGGTGTGGCTTTCAAAATGTCAGCTCAATGACACATCATTGTAAAATCCATTTATTTAAAGATATGCGCTGTATAATGTATATTTCTGAGGGTGGTCATTTTGATACCAGGATATTCATGTTTTGTTGTCAATTCAATTTTGATAATTTGTAATGGTATAAATACTCAGGTAAGGAAGTATTCTAAAGTGATAAAGATTTAACAATGTTATGTAGAACAATGAACAGGAAGAACTGGTTATCAAAATTTCTCCAGACATGAGTCAGAGGCACGAGTTCGAGGTACATATCGTGATTGTATGTGTTGACCAGGGCCCGTATTCATAAAACCGTTCTCATGCTCAAGGATGAATTCTGTGTTCAAGCAAAACTTTCTTGTAACTCATTAAGTCATGTAACACAGGCGTAAACATTGGAAGCGGTCCGCGGCTTTATGTCTCACCAAAACTGTTCCATATCATTGGCAAATCGTAACTTTAGTATTATTCTATCATTGGAATAAGAAATTTGGCTTGAGCATAAATTTTTGAGTTTGAGAATGATATAGGTTTCATGTCCAGGCCTCAGAAAAAGTTAAATAACCAGTCCCAAGTTTCACAAATGTGTCCTTACTCAAGAGTGGTCGGCCGGTTGGTTTATTTAGTTAAGAATTCTATTGACAGTAACGATATTTTAAGAACGTGTATCCATATGTGTAATGTATATGTGTGTGCTGGAGACGGTATGTTAGTGTATTTGCCTCCTTGTGACAGCGCGGATCTGATGCCAACTTAAGAGTGCTATCTCACTGAAATAATAAACCGAAGGCACAAAACATATCATTCCACCCGGTCACATTATACTGACCACGAGTAAACCAGTTCATAAGTCATTAGAAAATGCATTAACGTCCATTGGAACTTCTTTCTTAAGGTACAATTCAAACATTATCCCCTAAAATACAGTAAGTCTTCCCAGTGAGCGTGCTCGATACTTCAGGGGTTACACCCACTTTCACTCTCTGCACCACTGGAATATGTCGTAACAAAAAGACACAAGAAGACTAGTTTGATCCTTTCATGCACATCAAAAGAGTTTCGCGGTCGCCTAACGGTAAAAATGACTGGCTTTAAGTCGGGTGTCTTTCTTTTGTTATCTCCAAAGGACATATATCATCCTAGTTATTGGTCAGGTTTTGTTTGACCTTAGATCAATCAAAAAGCTAATCGCGTGCCTTAAATTTAGCTATGACATATAACAGGAGTGCAGAGAGCGACAGTAAGCGTTACCCCTTGAGTATCGGGATGCCAAGTGGGAAAACTTCCGATGTTTGTAGACCGCGCTCTCACCGACTGGTCAGTGGTTCTTTGACCTTACACAACCCGTGATAGTACTTACTTACACGCGAGTAATTTGTATCTCAAGAGGTTTGTAATCGTTTATGTGGATTGGTTTAAATAATCTCATTCTACAGCGGTCGCCATTTTCAATATTAGCTGTAGGTAGCTGCGAGTACCGTAGCCACGACAGGAGCGAAATGAGGATCAAACCTTAAGGGGGTTGCTTTTATCACTTATAAATTCGTTGTGTGTGTCTTCGTGTTTATTCTCAAGAAACAATTGATTGCGGAAATATTTTTTTAAGGAAAGTTGATCGCGAATCAATACAATTCATTGTTTCCTTTTTTAAATTTAAATTGTTGCGAATAGATCATTCAAGTTTTCCACGAAATTAAGTGATTGCACTAACTAAACGAATTACAATGTTTTCGGAAAGTGAATTCAATAGAGAGAACACGGATATTATTTTATATGTGATATTTACAAATGAGGAAGTACTTGACACAACTTGAAATACTTGAATCATAGAAGGAATTGTGTTATGATAATCAGTAATGCTTACATTGGGGATGGGGTGAGGGCAAAAGCAAAAGTGAACACAGGAGAGATTAACACGAATGTTTTCGAAAAAGTTATTTGAAGTAACAAATCATTCAAAAGCAAGTGAGGGTGCTATGTTGCTGCTGAGAATATTGAAATAGACTATCGTGAAAATTGTCACGAACAACTCTGTTGCGCAAGACTGGAAACGTTACAGATAATGGATGATAACTGGTTCGATTCCCCTTACGGTATNCAACGGGTTGGCGCTTGAACCAAGTCTCATGACTCATTACAATAAGTTTATATAATAATAATAGCGACTAAACAACGACTGTTCTGAGTACATCTTGACTTAATTAGATGAACAGACCACATGGGCGTAGGAATACGACCTAGTTCCCACGGTGTCGCGCGCTCATTTGCATCTTTATTGCACACGTTCAATATCAATTTTATTGCACCCCTTTATTGCACTGCAGAAGCCTTATATTATATAATAAATATTTGTAATATACATATGGTAGATTTAAGCCAGTAAAAAGTTGACCCGGAGTACATTTAACACGTGGGGGGCACGTTGCCACGTTACACCGGTATGAATTCCTTGAGCTTACAACCATACTTTATGAAGAGAGTGCTACTGGCGCTACATATCGATGTAGTGCTATACATGTAATTACAGCGTGAGTTTTTGCCTTAAGGAAGATTCATATTTAACATATTTAAGATGTGAAGGGAAATTCGAACGTCTTTCAATGTTATTGTTTGAACCTTTAATGTTGCGTCAAACCTAATACCTTATTACATAATAACGTAAGCTACGGATAAAATTTCAGTGTGTGTACCAGCGTTATAATACCTTATTCTGCCAACGTGAATAGCTTATGATGTAATATCAATGATTAAGTCTAGATCTTGTCGGGACTCTTCTATCCTGCAATCCGTTATGGTAGAATAATGAATATCAATTATAAAAACGGCAGTACCGAAAGCATGACGCACCAAACAAATTAAAAGCTTTGCTCGTCGTGGCGTCAATCAATGATGAACATTGTTGATGTCCTGCGTAAACAATCAGATTACCTGTCGGAGACAGGTGTCATTGTTTGCACGCCGTGTTAGAAGGCCGCGCGCGACGTTCACTGCCGAGGTGTTTCCTCTTTAGAATTAACAGGAAATGAGATTGCTCATTGATTTCTGTCCGGAAGCGTTCCTACATTAATCTATGCCTGTTTTTCATGGTCGGATTAAGTTCTTTATCGATTACATTGACATACATCTACAAAAATCTCTCCCAATGGGCATTGAACATTTACAATTGGGACAGAAATAGACTGGACGCAAATAAAATGGCCGTCACAAGCAGTACCTGTTGTAGTGTAGGAGAATATGTCAAAAGCTAGTTCGTAATCCTCAGTTGTAACTCCTATTCAAACTAATCTAATTCCCATACATTTCTATCCATTAAACGATATAAAATAGTTCACATATCATTTAAACTTCGATGATAAATGGCCTTCGGTGTGGAGGTTGTAATCGGTATGGTTCAGTATACTGCAGCTTAGTGTGTGTGGGTACGGAGAGACATACATATTTATATATAGAGTTAACGGATATTGAACGGTCATTATCAATAAATCATGGCATCCAGGACGTAATCATCAGCGGGAAAACATTAGTTTAGGTCGTCTGCTCGGAAACAGTCGATATTGGGCTACATAGACACTAGTTGTAGGGCACCTATTGACATAAATTTGCGACAAAAAACATTTGCAACTCAGCATTCTGTGTGAGATCTATCATTATTTCAACCTTATACCAATCAACCAAGGGGACTTGAAAATACGTTACAGCTATATGTTTGGTCCTTAGCTGAGGTGGTCAGAGTAAATTTACACGATTTAGGGGGTTATATCAGTTAATGGTAAAAATGGCATCACCATCATTGTTGGTGACAGTTTTATCGAAAATTGATCTAAACACCTAAAAACGTGTAAAATTACTCTAAACATCTCATTTTAAGTTCAACTATAGCTCTAACGAAATATCAGGTTCCTGTGAAATCAACCCTTAACCTAACACAACCATCACCACTACCAAACGCCATATGTAGCTACCCCTATCTGTGTTAACGACTAGGTGGGTATGTATTCTACTATGTACCACACCACCACTCCCCCTCATCTTGACCCTCCTTATCCCCAACCCCTCCTACGTACCAGACACGATGTGGGGGATACATGTTTTTTGTTTCCACTCTACCCAACCCCGACCCTCTCTATCTCTCTCCTCACTTCTTTACCATATTTAAGATGTGGTGAATGTTTACGTTCCTAACACACGATTACAGCCCCACCGAACACACGGCTATAACCCCCCTTTCCCTTTCCCTCGCTTGTCAGATATAAGTTTATATCCGCCACATTTTCTTAGTTTTGTATCGGTTACGACGGAATTTTGTTACACAAACGATATTAACATTGAAAGTCTNCCCCCCCCACACACACACACACACACACACATACCACACACCACCACCACCACCACCATAGACGTGCGATAATCAAAAAGGAACAATGCATGCAAACATAAAATTCAAGATGAGAAATAATTACTTACTTTGCTTTCTTGTACGAGAACAGTAACTTGTCACCGTCGTCTATTACATTCCAAACTGTCACTCTCCAACGATCTACGAGGCCGAAAAGCAAATATTTGCAGTGGTCAGTTTCAATACACCCAAGTATACCTATTCCAGCAGACCAACTTTGACCTTTGAATTTAAAACGTTTAAGTGTCTATACTGTACAATCCGTGTATTCCCTGAGGTCTTAAAGTCCCCCGACGTTTTATACCTCAACAGGTAACGTTTGTCAACGGCTACCTGTGTCCTCTTCAGATCGATAGTTTGGTACGTGACTGATCGAGATCGATTGATTTTTGTCCAGGTATTTATCAGTTTTAGCACTTACTGCAATCAATAGTTACATATGGTTGAAAATACCTGCATGAAAACCGTCTACCTTGGCGATTAAAACCCTTTGTAAACAAATACGACACCGTTGTGTATATATAGATTCTACCGCTAAAATGGCCTTACAAACCTATACACTTAGTACGTATTATATTCGACGTATAGGTTTTTAATCAGTAATTGAGCTACAGGTATTCAATGTTTTGTTCCACTTAACTACACTGCAGGTCAACTAGATAGTCGCTACACACTTACGGTATAGAAATATTGAGAAACAAATCAATACTGTTTAAAAAAATATTTAACAACAATGCGAACAACACAAATATTATTTTAAATCTACAAAATCATCGGTCGTTTGATATACATGAGACCGTAGCGTTTTGTCCCAAATACAAAATGCTTCCGACGGGAAGATTAGACCCCCTTCTCTCCGTCCCTAGCGACATTCGTCGTAATCTGTCAGTGATCACACAGGTATGTATATAGGGTTATATACTTGTCAGGGTTTTTTTTGTACAAGTCGGCGATGTGTTACGTGACTTTTGTAACTCTGTCTGGTATTTAATCCCCTCACACATATCATAAAAGACCAAAGGATCTAGGGAACCCGCTCACCTTGTCAGAAGTCTCAGCGACTTGAATTTATCTCGTAAATAAATGGTAATTATTTTTAAAACAGAATCCAAATTTGTAATTCCGTTTTGAAAGAGAATATTCACAACAAACAAAACTATTAACTGCTGGCAACCCGTATTAAAACACACATGTAAGACTTTATTTATTTGTTATTTTATTTATTTATTAACTATTTATTTTTTCTTTGAGTTGATTAAAAGATTTAGTCAAGCAAATCCCCAGTGCCTGTGTCGGATCACACATAAAAGGGTCAAAGTGCAGGGCAAATGACTCTCTACCTCGATAAATTGATTTACCTACCAATGACAACCTACTTCATTCCATTTTTATGTCCACAGTTTCATTTGGGGAATTATTTCAAAAGGCTGTAGGCATACAACCTTTAACATTTGGCTAGTTTATGATAAAGACTTATTTTACTGTTCAAACGTTTGCAATTTTATTTGCATTTCAGCATTTCGAATCAGACCTAATGTTCCTGCGTCATATACAATATTTTAAGTTATTGACGGGAACTGAGAGGGCTGTCAACAGGGACTATATTGGCGTATGATACACGAACTCAAAACGGTTTGATTTTAGCTACACCCGAATTTAGCGACATTTTGTAAGGCCGGACATGAGTCCTATAGCCTGAAGAATGGTTATCTTTCTTTAGGCACTGATTTTCAGACACACTGTCCTTATAAAAAGACGGGCTGGGTCATTAGAACTCGATTGAATTCTTGAAAATGAAGTGCGCCCGCAACAAACGATAATTATTGTAAGGTATTTGAGTATCTGATATTGTTGTCCCTGTTCGGGGTAACCGACATCCAAGTATTGCATTATGTGTGTTGATCAATGTGTATTCACTAGATCAGGTTCCCTATTACAAAACCTCACGGTATGTATGAAATATGATAAGCTGCGTTCGTCGACATTTCAACTAGCACTGAAATTAAATTGTTAAAACGTGATGTACTTTAAAATAAAAAAATCTAGAGATACGTTATCTTGTATTAAGTATGTTCAGATATACAAATAATGAGGTAAGTGTAAAATCATTATGATCATATCCTAAATCTACAGATGTCGCTGAGAAGTTCAAACGAGTCGGATCCCATTTAGATAATTAACGGACGTTAATAAACAGAACAGGATGTACCTACCACAGGTTACTAATTGATATAATATAGAGCGGCCCTCGATATCGCGCTATTCTCTGAGGTATACGGACATGGAAATATGCACAGGGCCCAGGCGTGTGAATATTATCAATTTTCTATAATAGTTACGTATTATAAACATTGTACAAAATAGAGCGATGAAGTTATTTCTAGGTGTTGGAAGAAATTATTCCAATCTAGGTAAAAAAGACGTTATGAGTTGGATGTCTTGTGAATCCAAACAACGAATTGAAGTTTTTAGGCTGTGTTGTAAGTTAAAATCGGTGGATAATGACCGTATTCTGTACAACGTTTATTCATGGTCTTCCAGGAAAGGTAAAGCATGGGATGTAAAAGCTAAACAATTAGCAAGTAAGTTTGGTATCGCCAATATTATTAATGACGGTCTAAATTCAACTAAATCCGTTATGTCAAAAATCAAACAGAAAATTTTTAACAAGGATGAAGAGACGTGGTTCTCCAGTCTTTGGTGTGATAAAGGTAACATTAACGGCAATACATTACGAACATACCGCTTATTCAAAAAAAGATTTACAATCGGAACATTACGTCACCACTTTAATGCCGAGACCACACCGTAATGTATTAGCCAAGTTAAGAAGTGGCAGCTTACCGCTACTTATAGAGACGGGTAGGTATACACGTCCAGTCACTCCATTAAATGACAGGCTGTGCAATTTCTGCGATAATAAAATTGAGAATAAAATCCATGAATGTAACCTATATTTCGACCTTAGAATCCCACTGTTTCAAAGAGCAAGTAATTTATATCAATCATTTATTTCTAAGGGCACCAGGATGAAGGCCAGCTCGTTCGTCATGTTTTTTAAGATTTGTTTTGAAACATGGGAGGTATTACAGACGCACAAACCCTGTGGGGAATAGTTACATGATTTCTCTTAACCTTACTTACCGGTATATTATATTTCCTGTAGCTTCACGTTTACTTCGCTTTTACGATCGCTTTGCCGTAATGTTACATGTAGCTCTCCCGTTTACTTCGCTTTACCGTAATGAACGAGCGTATCTCTCAATTTGCTAATGAATAAAAGAAAACTACTCACCCATTGCTGTAGAGGAAATCTGCGATATATATCTTGACTTAGACGATGTCTAGCAATCTCTGGCAGCTGACACTCGCACTTCCGTTATTTTAACATTTCTCTTCAATCCAGTGTATCGCGATGGTCAGGTATCTAAATCCGGCTAACATTGAATATTTAAGCACATATTGGATAAAATGTAATTAACAACGTGACAAACGATACATGTTTCTTAACTGCAAATGTTTTTGTAGTATATTACATATTTTTCGTGACCTGACCCGCCGTTAGTTTTCCTGCAATATAAAGCTACGTTAATCCAGTATTATCCTTACCGTATGCTGACTAATTCCATGCACATGTTATGCACATATAAATCAATACATGTCCGATACTTTATTAAACTGTATATTATATTAACTTACAGGTACCGGTAAACCCTGCTTGCGGGAGGATTTAAGAGCTAATCCATGACCTAGGCGACAGGTCCAACATGTCGAAGGTTTCTAATGTTAAAGCGTGTAGCCACTGACAGATTAACCAACATATGTTTGTATATGTGTGTATTGATTATATTGGTTTACCTAAACCGGATCAATATTAATTACTTAAAAGCATAACAATATTAAAACGTGTACTGGCACCTACTTTAAACAGAATTCCCACGGAGAAAACGACAGAACGTTTTTTCTCTGACGAAATGTTTTTTCCAAACAAGTTGCATTAACCCTTTTAGAGACAAGAGTATTCCAAAGGAATGGAGGAGGTGAAAGTCCCTTGGGCAGTTTCAGCTTGGATGTCTCGAATGGTTTTATCTTTTTGTCACAGGGGTTAATGCGGTCACATAGATGTAGTTCAGATGTAGTCATCACTAACGGTATTGCAGCCACGTGGTTTGTACCTGCGGCACGAAATTGGAAATATTCTTTTCTTGAGAGTATCTGAGGTCACGGGGTTTGAATGTTTTGTTATAGAGAAAATTTGTAAAGTCGTCTGAAAATGTCTTTGTAACCTAGTTTCAGGAAATATCTGTAACTGATCGCGTACTCCGAAAGTTTCTGTGTGGGCTCATAGTCTTCAGGAAATATTTGTGATCAAGTTGTCGGAAGGGGCTGTTTGACTGGACTTCAGAGAATGTGAGATCACGTCGGCTAAATGTCGGTAATCACGTGGTCTAAAACTGTCTTTTTATGTACATTGTAGCATAGTCACGTTTGAATGTCTATGGTTTTAATATGGGCGAGCAATTGTGGCCCTGTTTTAAGGCTGTACATTGTACAGAGTGTATAAGTCAAATCACAAAGTATTAGCTAGAAGGAAATTCCCAAACTCAGAGGTAAAACGCCTAACAGTTCCCAAACTCTGAGGTAAAACACCCAACAGTTCCCAAACTCAGAGGCAAAACACCTAACAGTTCCCAAACTCAGAGGTAAAACACCTAACAGTTCCCAAACTCTGAGGTAAAACACCTAACAGTTCCCAATCTCAGAGGTAGAACATCTGAACAGTGTCCAGTATCACCGGATAAATTCTAGGCGAAGGCACATTTTTTTTACTTCCTACGGAAGATGGGTGCCGTGACCAGGATCTCCATGTAGCTTTGTTTAATGCCTGTAGCCATGTCGTCTGAAATGTCTCTGCTTACCCTAGTCTCGGGTGTGACTAAGGTGTGTTGTCAAGGGGATCACCCTTAGCAACCTAGATCTGAATACACGTCTGATGATCCGTAGTTGTCACGGAGAAACTAAGCGTTGTCAGGAAAACGGAAAGTAAAATTTGGAATCGTTTCTTTTACACTTGCTACACAGAAACGCTTTTATCGCTTATCTAAAGTTATCATACAATCGATTTCTTTATTCTTCAGAGAATCAAAATACTAATTTCCTCTCCCACTGATGGAAGCACATTTTAACCTGTTTTTCATTGGCCGAATGAATTAATCTTAATCGCAATATATATTCATCCCCTGCTTCTTTATCCAAACTACCAAAATATATCTTACAAAACGATTTTTCTCTTGAGTTGAAAATATAACAATTACCACAAAAACGTGGACAAGGATTTATTTATTCTACAAGCACAAAGTGTATGCATCAATTGTTGCCACAGTTCACTGTGACACAGAGAAGAGAAAAATATATATATCATATAGATAATCGTACTGATAAAAAAGTGATTGGGACACTCAACATTTACAGTTTAGTACACAATGCACTAGCCAAGACAAACACAAAATGTCAATTACAATTTAGTAAATATGAGACTCAGTTCATCACTTTTTAACATTGCTATATATACACGTTTATTTACAAATTAAAGTTATGGTATAGAGAACGGGCCAGACACGTGGTAAGTAATGTCTTAATTTAACAAAGGAAATATTTTCTAGAGAAACTATTCCTGTGATCATTATTCTGATTACCAACTGTCTGGCCCTTGTGGTATTTATAAATAGTTTGGATACATTTTCCCCAACAAGTTTTAAATCATAACGTCAATTTATACCACCGTCAGATGATAACACTCTTAATTCTTGCCTAAAATTTTCAAAATTAAATTTGAGAATTTGACTAAAAATATCAACAAAGTAATCTTGTACAAAGCCAAATAATATTGTGACTTTTACTATCATCAGTGTCGGCCAAATAACATTCAGGTAGATCTGTATTTTTTGTCAAAACCTGAAAAGAGTTGTTCCCCATGTGTGAGTAAAGCCAGCATTGGAGAAGGGGAGACAATCTACCAACAGTGTATAGGTACCTCTCTACCTTCCCAATCAAGTTTTCCCTAGATATTTTGATGTTTTATGTCAGTGCTTTGGAGTAACATAATGTTTCAAATTATATCATCTCAAAATGATGTTGCATAGAAGTGGCAAAAACTTATGTCCATTAAAATTGACCTCGGTAGTAAAAACTGGCAGGCTGAAACTGAACAGTTGAAAAAAAAATTAAAAAAAAATCCAGGTCTCTGGAGCCAGCAATTGTTGTCAATTTTAGAAAGACAACTGTATGCCTATAAAAAATAACTTGTACATTTTTTAACGTTCAACAGAGAGATGATCACAGTACATACATCCTAGAGAATGTTCTGTCAATCCAAAACTTTTGAAGATGGAAAGGTAGATTGTGTGCAACAGTAAAATTACATTACTTTTACCAATAAGATGATCATGGGCCCATATAAGTTCAATCCTATTCATGGGATAATCTTTGAATAAAACTGACGAAATGGAATGAAATGAGCTCTTGATAGGAAAGAAATAAAAACAAGGAAATATTTGTCTCATCTGATATTCATCATTCTTTCCAATGAACATTTTGTTGTGTGTGTGATTTATTTTACAAGACAGATAACTACAGTAACTAAAATATCAAAACAGGACAGCAAAATAAATGTTAAAGACCAAGGATCGAAAATTTAAACAGGGCGGTGATATCAAAGTTTACAGTATCAACCAAATACACCTCAATTTGTTCAATCTGTTGATGGAGTTTATTCAAGCATGGAAAACTGAACAAAAAAAGTACATATTTACAGGTAGCATTATATAATGGTAAATGTCAATCATAAAAGTATACACAAGGAATTTTTGATACATTGAAATGTTTTAAAAGAATTCTCACAGGAAAAATGCCATATACAATAGATACCTTCCTTCCAGAAACTAACAATAAATTGTCTGTGTAAACATAGGGTAGTCATCATAGTTTGTTGCCAGTGCATGTACAACCCTTTCACCACTGTAGACCATAATGGACTAATCCACACCAATGCATGGTAGAGTCTACTGAAGTTATATAGGGGTGAAAGGGTTAAGGTATACACCAATTTTCACATTTACACATCAGAAACTCATATGCGAATTTATATCTTCTGCAAATATTAATTAAATCCTTTAGGTAATGACTGTCAATAGTAAACTAGTATATACCTCAAATGCTATGTAAAACATTGTGGAATAAATCTACAGGCATAGTTTGCAAAATAAAACACATAAAAATAAAATCGTTTACAGATTTGCCACTTGTTATATATATTTACCACATAACTTTGTCCCATATACTGGCACACTCTTCAGAATGTCATGAATTAGAACGGCAGTATAAGGAGGTTTAACCAGTTCATTTACATCAGTACGGTTCAAACTTTGTAAGTTATATTTTCTTAAAACACATCAATATCAAATATTTGTAATTCAATATTTATTTTCCTTGTACAATGTTCAAACACTTAACGGGCCTATAAATTAAAATCTATAAATATACGAATAGGATCTATTCCAAATGAATGTTATTTCAGTCACACGGATGTGGCACAGATCCCCACCCCATGTTCTAAATATGATACATAATACATATATACTGACTGTAGGGTGGAAATCTGTGCAACACCAAAGGTTTCAGCATTAAACTGCACTCTTTAATTATAATACTTCAACAATGATTAAATGCCTTTTAATACTTGTTTTTTTAAATATTTCATTTATTTGATGATAAGCTGATACTCAAATTTTGTATCTGGTCTTCAAATTTGAGGTAGAGTTTTAACTTATGTAAGTGCCAACAGCCAGCATCGGCCAGCGATCTCCAACGTTACAACAAATGTATATAATCTTCCTGCTTAAGTGTTTGTGTCATAACTAAAAACTAACTTTGGGAGGTTTATATAGTGGTAATGCAGTGGAAACATAACATTTATCACTGTCCCTTCTTCTTAAGTTACAAGAGCTACGTAAACAGTGAGATACCTGTGAACAGTACAACTGGCAGCACACAAGAGAATTTCACTTGGTTTTGTTTGGTTTAATTTTGTTTAACGTCCTATTGTCAGCTAAGGTCATTTAAGGACGTGCCTCCATGTGTGTAGTGTATGCGTGCTTGCGTGTGTGTATGCAGGAGATTTCACTTGGTAATTGCAAATGATCAAAGCATAAAGCTATACTACTATATATATTTTTCTTTTTGATATCACTGTTTGTTCGTAAATTAAAATGTATCATAGAAAGGTGGCATATATCCTTAATTCAGATAAGTGTGAGCTTATTGCAAGTAAAACATGGCAATCTATAAAAACACATTGCATAGGGCTTATACATAACAGCTGTGCCAGACAGGTAAATTTTAACCAAATAAACAATGATACAAAACAACAGCCCTATGTACCAGTCGGGAAAAAATAGGTGACAGGAAATAAATTAATGGCTAAACTTATTAACTTATATAAAAGTAAACATCTATAAAAGGTCTATCTTTAGGACATTTAAAAAAATTGTTTAATTATTTTACATTAAGTCTTCAAGAAAATTCACGTTCATCCTACATAAATGTACAATGATACCCATTTCAGAAATATTTTTTATATCAAAGTTTACATGTGCTAGTCTTTCAAACTTAAACACTTTTCATAATATGTATTGAAATTTTAATAAAAGCAAAATTACTTCATCATTATGTTTTAATTATGTCTAAGAAAAGCATAAACACGTCTTTCATTAATCTTGAAGCCTTATAAAACTCCATTGTTAATTTTCCTTTAAAGCTATTAGTTATAGGAGTAAACAATTCCACAAGCCCGATGCCAGGGGTACAATCAGATATTATGTCAGAGCTAGTGAACATTTTCAGTATTAACTATAAAAATATTGCTGGGCCAAGTACTTCAATATATTCTACACCCTTAAACGACCTATTGATTTATTTTTAGCTACAGATGTATCTTGATATGCATTTTTCTGACAAGGAATTTCCTTCTTTGGTCCCTGTTGTAATTCTATTAAGTCAAAACCGTCAAACTCCCTATGGAAACTAATTTTAGCTTTAATTACTTCAAAGTGTAATAGAAAGATGAAAACAGTGTAAATAGACCCTTATAAATAGGGTATGAAATACTAAATATTTCATATATCTATCTTTCACTATGCTAATTTTTCAAACATAAATTTTTTAAGGGAAATTTTGAGCTTCAATGTCTTGTTGTTCAGGTTGTAGCTATATATATATATAGTCAATCATACAAACACGTTAAGTTTTAAAAAACAAACTTGATACATCCCTGATCTTAATAAATCTATTTATCAAGCTAAATGTTTTGGTATCTTAGAGACAAAGAAACAAGAGAAGATTTCGTAGGATGGGTGAAACAAACTGACACTGTCTCATCCTCGTAAACAAATTCTGAAGATGTGAGAATACTTTCAAAGACAGGTACACTTATTAGTTTGGATACAACATTTTAAAACTATGGAAGGGATATACCAGTACATTTACCGTACAATCTATCTCAATACTGTGTATACATATCAATTGTGCACATCAATTAGTCATAGGGAGACGTTTTACACACATAATGTGTGATGTCATTATCAAGCAATAGGGCTGAAGCTAAATACAGGAAGTACTAAACATCTCAAATCCTCTTCTGTTTGCAATATGAATACACATTCATTAAATTAACGCACACAACATGAAAAATGTTGTAGATAAAAATTAATCATAATTACATCAAACAAACACGATGAATACATCAACAACAACAGACCAGGTCTAATTAAAACTTCATCAGCTGCCTCGTCAACATAAAACAATATCGTGAATAGACGTAGTCTGAAATGTGCCTGTGTAACTTTACACCTGTGGTGTGTTGCAGTGAGTTATAATGTCTTATCTGTATGAGGCCATCTACATTGTAAATGTGATCATAAACACTAACAGAAATGTCACTATTTTTACACATCAATATGTGAACCATAATCAAAGACACTTTTATCATAAACATATTGAAAACACCATGTATTGCATCATCCAAACCACAATTGATCTATAAAAAGCAAAGTTTATGCAAGCTCATACCTTTTTGTTTTTACAAACATATAAACTGAATGTTGATATTTATTTAAACTGTAACAAAATTCACTTTTCATAAACATGTTCACTGTTTCTGTAGATCATAAGGATAGGAATGATTGAAATCCACTTAAAAAAGCCCTCAATGTCTCGTGTTAACATGCAGTTATCTCCCCCTACTTGTGTAGTTGACGGAAAATTTCACAGTACATCAATAAAATTTGTGAAGGCTACGCAAGACCTTGATCATGAAATAAGATCACGGATATAGTAGTTGACAGTCTTGCGTTGATACAGATGTGTCAAATTGATTCAAATAATAATCTTCTCCTGTTAAAACTGTAAGGCCCAGCACCAATTGGGCCACATACATTTTATGAGCTTATAATTATACAATTTCGCAACATGGGCCGGGGCTGATCTTTAGAGCCTTAAGCTAGAACATAACACAATTATTACAAGTTGCAGAAGTGTAATTCCCATTGGTTCAGAATACAAGTGTAATTCCCATTGGTTCAGAATACAAGTGTAATTCCCATTGGTTCAGAATACAAGTGTAATTCCCATTGGTTCAGAATACAAGTGTAATTCCCATTGGTTCAGAATACAAGTGTAATTCCCATTGGTTCAGAATACAAGTGTAATTCCCATTGGTTCAGAATACAAGTGTAATTCCCATTGGTTCAGAATACAAGTGTAATTCCCATTGGTTCAGAATACAAGTGTAATTCCCATTGGTTCAGAATACAGGCCCTAGTACAAACTAGAAAGATTAATGACCATTGCATATCCAAAGCAGGGGTGAATGGATACAAAGTTCTGGTGAAAATAATTATTAAATTGTTTATATATATTTTCAATATTAATCAAATTTATACTTTTTCTGACACTCAGACATTTATTTATAAAGTTGCATTGCCATCATGTAATCATAAATATCTCTGCTCCTGTTTGAAGATTCGTTAACAAAGGCATTCCCACTGTATCTCTGGACGGACAATAACGCTAAGCCTTAAATTATCATAAACTAACAGTAATAAACCCATGGTACCCTAGGCCGTAATACCCCATTCACCACTGTAGACCGTAATGGACTCATCCCGATCAATGCATGGAAGAGTTTACTTAAGTTACACTGGGGTGAAAGGGTTAAGGAGTCAAATGGCTAATGGGACTAATTCCTCATTTCATTGACATGTTAAATCTGATTAACTAGGGGTGGGCTTATTACTGGTCAAGGGTTTATCACAAGTAGATATAGTACATATACAACAACATACAGAAAGTTGGTACTTATAATCAGATCTGAAAATCTCTTTCTACCTTATAACATCACTCTGTATCACAAAAGACAAGATAAAGAAACTATCTTTCTTGTATCATCTAAATAATTAATAGAAAAGAAATATTTAAAATATCTGTTGTTTTGCATAAAATGGCTAAACCTGCATCAATCTTCATAAAGGACATCTATATTATATATTTTCTTGATTTTTTAAATTTTAACTTCAAGTATTTCTTCTCAATTTGAACGATATATCATTGAGGTACATGATGAGGTTGGTTGTTGGTTGGTTGTATTGGGTTTAATGGCCTATCAACAGCTAAGGTTATTTAATGAAATAATCTCTAAACATATTTAGAAAGTTTGTAAGTACACTCTTCAATAAAGCTTTTTAAAACATTTACAAAAACATATTTTTTGTCATTCTGAATCAAATAATTGACCTTGTATACTTGCTAGCAGCAATAACTATATATATATTTCAAGTTTAATCAGTAACAACTGCAGATATAATGTTGACAAAAATTAGACGAAATTAAAGTGACACGTGAATCACAACACCCTTTAATTCAATTTTAATAAATGACGACTAACGAAACTTGACCATTGGAAATAAATAAAAGTCAATTTTAAAATTCACCTTGTTATTGACTTTCGATAAATCTATTTAGAAAGGGTATAAATTTGGTGCCAAGAATATTCAAGAATTTACAGAAAATATCAATTTCAATCAATTTTAAGAAGCTAATCAGTGCAATCTGTATGTGGCACAGTAGTAAAACAGTGCTGGACAGATGTGTTGAATTATAGCATCACGGCGGAGCTGCAGTTGTCTTCCGATCTACGGCAACATCAACTGATAAAACAAGGCAGTGGGCAATTACTGGACATCGGCTTATCAGAATTATATAGAGTAACTCATCCCTTTGAACTAGACCCCATATCACTGTCGACACAAATCCACCATACATCCATAAACAGACATTATAGCTATACTCTAGGCTTAAACTCTTGTTGATAAATACATGTATACAAAATCCATCAACACAACATGACTTAAATTGTTGGATATTCTTAAAACAAAAGATGTGCATGATATAATGTTTTCACAATTGTGTCTATGATAAAACTACAGCCTACATGGATCCTATCATGTGGGCCCAGTATCATAGATGCTGCGCAGAGCCAAGAATAAATCAAATTACAAGAGAGTTAGTAATTTTAAATGGAAACAGCTTTGCACATATGACACCGTAGCCCCAAACTCCCTGGATTGCATCTTGAGGAAGATCTGTAGGGGGTTCTTTAGAACTGAAATACTGCCGGATGGAATTATTTGCTATGAAGTGTCCATGGGGACTTCAACTTCCTGTTTTGCACGATTGTTTTCTGTGTCTGATGCCTTTGGATTTTCTGCAGTGTCTATGTGCTGTGGAGTTGTGTCCCTTGTCTTCACTTTTTCAGGGATACTGTTCTCCGATGAGGTAGTGTCCCTAGCAGTTTCAATCTCACTACTGGACTGGAAATTGGAAGTGGAGCTTTGAGCATCAGGAACATGAGGACTGTTGATTGGGAGAATTGAAATGGTATCTTTTTGCACACAAGGTTTTTTTCCTGCTTCCTTAAGAATGTTTTTAGATTTTTTCACCACATCCTTGATAGAACAGCTGCTAGATTTTTTCACCACATCCTTGATAGAACAGCTGCTAGATTTTTTCACCACATCCTTGAGAGGACTGCTGCTAGATTTTTTCACCACATCCTTGATAGAACAGCTGCTAGATTTTTTCTCCACATCCTTGATAGAACAGCCGCTAGATTTTTTCTCCACATCCTTGAGAGGACTGCTGCTGGATTTTTTCTCCACATCCTTGATAGAACAGCTGCTAGATTTTTTCTCCACATCCTTAAGAGAACTGCTGCTGGATTTTTTCTCCACATCCTTGATAGAACAGCTGCTAGATTTTTTCTCCACATCCTTGAGAGGACTGCTGCTGGATTTTTTCTCCACATCCTTCATATGAAAATTTCTAGACTTTTTCTCTGCAACATTGTGAGGACTGTTTTTATCTTGCCTTTCTACTTTCATCTGTGCAGCACTCATTGCTTTTGAAATAGCCTCGGCTCTTTCTTGCTTTTCCATCTTAATTGCTGGTTTGTGAGGAAGAGGTACAACTGGTTCCTTTTTGTCATTTGTTTTCATGGGCGAGACTCCCAACTTTGTGGAATATGCTGTAGCCTTGTCCTTCTTTTCAACCTTCACAGAATGATGCTTAGGTGTTGACGATTCTGACAAATTTCTGTCCTTTTCCTCTAGTTTCACAGAAGATGATTTAATTTTTGTGGCAAGTGTTGTTAGTTTTTCCTTCATATCTGCCAAAAATGTGACTTTTTGTGTTGGATGAGTTGAGGTGTTTTGCTCCTTACTATCCCTTTGTACAGCGGAGTCTACAGGAGGCACCAATATTGATGCCATTTTGTCAGATTTTTCTTCTCTTTCTTGCATGGAAGTTGTTGCAGTGGAACTCGTTGAATCCTTCACATCAACAACCTGTTGATCCGAAGAAGTTACGCATTTCTCCTCTGTTGAGGAACTGTCCATGCATGCCTCCTCCTCGGGCTCCGGTGGATAATACTGAGCTAGTCGGATGTGCCATGCGATACTTGTGACGGCCGAGACAGTTTTGAATTGATGAATTACGTTGCGTGGGATGAAGTAGATGTCATCGTCTCGTAGCTGGATGCGAGCAAATCGGATTCCTTCTCTGTGCAGCTGATTCAGTTTTGCATCTTCCAACCATGTCACACACTATGAAAATCACAAAATACAGGTTCAGTATACAGCACCATTCAGTAACTTTATCTATACAGCTGTCTTTTGTGTGTGTAGACTTCTATCTCCACAAACTATTATTTTTTATTCTACTTCACATAAAGACTACAATGTCAAAGTCAAATGAAAGAAAGTTGAAAGAGAAACCATGAACTCTGACCTTGAATCAAAATGTACATTGAAGTTCTATAAAATTATATTTTAAACCTGCAAGACAGCAGCACAATAAAGGGTAAAATCAGGTTTAGAAATTGGAGAAAAGTGAGTCACATCAATTATTTGATTTATTGCCATTCATCAAAGCAAGCTACAGACAAAATATGATTACCCCTAGGCCTCATGGTTTAGAAAAAGAATATTAACATATTTGATCCACACGTCCTTGAAAATTAACAAAAGATGAAGATATATTGTATAAACAGTTGAAAGCCAGTTACAATTAGTCTTTGTCTTGTGTTTTTTCAAAATACAATTTTAACATGTTTGACCTGTATGACACTGAGAGAACAAGCATACATAGGGCACGCTTCTTTATTGGAACCAGGTTTGTAGCCCTTCATTCAAGCCAGCTTCAGGTTAAATACCATTACAGTTTGTCTCACAATTTTATTAGAAGTTGTTCAAAGATTTCAACAAGTGATCTCCGTTAGATCTTGAAAGTGGGTCAGGATAAGCTATTTGAAGCAACCTCACAATGCTCATCATTCAATCCAACTACAGGTTAAAAACATTACTCTTTGTCTCATTGTTCGTTAAAATATATTTCAAAATTTTAACATATTGGACCTGTGACATTGAGCACTGATCAAGGTCAAATGTAAGAACAAATTTGATACCATAATAACCTACTGAATACATATCATGACTCTGATTAGCAGAAGGCATCCAACAATTTTAATATACAATAATATCAAATAATTTGACATGAAGGATTTTGAATGAGGGTAAAGGACATTTATTTGAACAAATTTTGATAGATCTTTCTCTAGCTAGCAAGCTATAGGTCAAATTGTTTTATCTTTTCAAATCTTGCCATATTTTGGTTTTAGTTTGAAGAAAATTGAAAATATCATTATTGCAATGATATTTGATATTTAAACATTGTGCGCCTTGTTTATACTAACCTGTGAGACTGGAGGTTCATGGAGATCTAAATGAAGTTTATCAACCAATTCTATGAAATCTCCCGGATGGAAACAAATCACATCCTTCACAACACGCCCTTCATCGTTTCTGGAAAAATTAGAAACTTGTCATTTAATACAGCTATCAATAGACAGCATGAAAAAAGCAATGCACACTTTCCAGTTTAATAAAAACAATTAATGAGAAGACTCACTTCAGGAAATAGAGACAGGAATTTTCGCATAACACATGTGAATCTGTTTTATGCAATTAATATGAAAAAATTGTCAAGCCAGGAAAAATATCTAAAAAGAATACGTCAAAAACACTAGGCACATTGTATAATTCAGGGGTGTAAAAAAAAATCAAATAATTTGCACAGGGAAAGCAGACACCCAAAATCCACTTGCCTGAGATGAATTTCTGCTTGCCCCGTTTTTTCACAATTTTCATCATTAAACATGATTTATTTTCACAATGAGTTTAATTCGTTTACAGTTATAATATAGCTTAATATAATGTGCATATATTGCAAAATGTATTTTTTTTTGTTTTCTTTTAATTACCAGTGGCAAACGCTACACTGAATGCGAACACATTTCGGTGCACACCTGCAGTCTATGCATAAACAGTGTCACAAACACAATGTGCCGACTTTATATATTTATCATTCATGAGATTTACACAAACCTTCCAAGCAATGTTTGGTTAAGTAATCAGTAGTTTATATCTGAAGATGGAAGCTATAATGACCGTATGGTGTGGTAGATATAAACACAGAATTAGTGATAACATCCTACTATACAAAACAATGGCTGTCGTGGGATTCTCAATAATAGCAGAAGAGTTATTCCCCTTGCACCTTCTATTGGGTAATACCCGTGTAAACATGTGATGTCTGTCAACTAATGTCTGACAGTTCTCGTTGCATTTCAAATCTTTTTGGAATCATAAAATCAACAAAAAAAAGATGTCAGAATTTGTGAATATGGCGCAAAACACATTTTATTACATTTGTAACAACAGATATAAGCTACAAACGTACTTGTCCGGGGCAAGTCAGTCAATTAATTGCGCTTGCCCGGATCTGAAAACTGGTTGTTCTGGAATTCGGGCCAGTAAATTTTTACCCCCTATCGCATGATCCATTCTTGATTTCATACAGGTACCTTAGCTGTCCTCTCTGTACTTGATTTGTATAACTAACCTGTCTTCTCCGTACTTGACAGCTTTGAGAACTCCTACAGCCGCTGTGGTCATTCGGTCAAAACCTTGACCCACATGGTCAGCGTGACAGCGTGTTCTGTCCTCCACTAGAACCTCGCGAGGCTCAGATGCACGTGGCAGGTATGACAGATTCTTCAGCTCATTCATACCACTGTCAAATCAAAGTGAACCAAAAATTAAAACAACTGGAGAAAAACTCTTGGTTTCGATATTCTCAGAACCTAGGTTAGACAATAAGGCTAGCCCACTAGTTCTCTGTTGTACATGTAGACTTCTGAAATCTCCTGCTGGACTAGCGGTGCTTAAAACTGCTAGCTAGATTGACTACCCTAGTCAAAATTTGATTACTTATTTTGAACATTATTGGAAAATAGTGGAATTCTGTACATATACCAGTAAAATGAAAACTTTGATTCTAGCCCGACTGACTAGTAGTTTTTGAAATTAATTTCTAACTCTGAAAAACTGATATAAAGCTCAAACTTAATTCATGACTTCAGTGATAAAGATCTTTTTCAAATGTTACATAATATTTGAAGTTTCACAGGTATTTAGGCCAAAACATTAGTTCAGCATCTTGCATTCCCATTTAAATGTTTATGGTATTCTTATCTCCTTGACTGAAATCAAACGAACTTGTGAAGATTCAAGGCCTTTGAGCCTAAACATGTCAATACAATGCCTGAATAAACTAGAACACTGACAGGTCTTGTGGCAATATATCCCCCATACTCATCAAGAAGCAATCTGCCCATATACACTGTAGCTGAGCTTGACTTCAATATTTGCTGGGCTAACAGAAATGTAAATACTGGTACAATACTCATTTGTTAGCTTTGATTTGTTTTATTTCACCTTAAATACCTCCCCCATCAAGAGCTAGGGTCAAAGTCAGAGATTCACTTTGTATTTGACCTTTGGACCCAAAAGATGCAAAATTTGATNCCTCCCCCATCAAGAGCTAGGGTCAAAGTCAGAGATCCACTTTGTCTTCGACCTTTGGACCCAAAAGATGCAAAATTTGACCTTGACCTTTGACCTTGCCTTTTAACCTTAGTGTGTATTTTTGTGAATTGAATATCTTGACCAAGTTTCATGTAAATTGGTCAATAATTACCAAAGTTATCAGCCAGGGACAAAATTTGTGGACGGACGGACAGACAGAGTGATTTCTATAGGGCACACGTTTCTCCGTAACAGGGGCCTTAACTAGAACTGTAAGCCAACGGCCAACTAATAACCAACAATGCTATATAAACCAGAACTGTAAGCTAAAGGCTTAATAAGGCAAAGCATTGCAAAGCAATCCATAGTCTTCTACCAGTACTGATTTCTTTATTCAGTGAGCTGTACACTTATCTAAGTAAATAGATCACTGACCTACTTCCTGTACTCCCTCCCAATGCCAAAACATACTTGCAAACAAAATCTTGTTAGCCTAGATGAACCAGTTTTTGCTGAAATCGTCCTAGAAGTTAAGGAAAAGTTGTCAGAACAAAGATTTTTAACAAAAGGTCATAACTCCTTATAAAGGGTTGAAATGAAAAAATACCCTGATGCATGACAGGGTAACCATATTTATAAATTTTCATTGAAATTGGCCCAAAAGTTAAGGAGGCGGACAAAAGTTTTTTCAACAAAGGGTCATGACACCTTTTATTAGGACCAGAATGAAATAGTACTTCTTGGATGCACAACATCAGGAGGAAGTTATCATATCTGAAAACTTTCGTTGAAATTAGCCCAGTAGTTTTGGAGAAGTTGTCAGGACAAGCATTTTTCAACAAAGGGCAATAACTCCTTTAAAAAGGGTCAGGATGAAAACATAATACCTGGATGTAAAATATCATGCGGTAGTTATCCTATCTGAAAACTTTCGTTGAAATTAGCCCAGTAGTTTTGGAGAAGTTGTCCGGGCACGCGTTTTTCAACAAAGGGCAATAACTCCGTAAAATAAAAAGAATCAGAATGAAAAAAATACCTGCATGCACAATTTCAGGTGGTAGTTATCATATCTGGTAAGTTTCGTTGAAATTGGTCTATTATTTTAGAAGGAGTTGTCCGAACAAACAAATTCTATGGTCGACAGACAAGCTGATTCCAGTATACCCCCCTTACTTCGTTGTGGGGGTATAATAATTATCTATAAGCTAGATTCTGCTGTGTTGTTCCCGCTCTGTTAGAATTAATTGATTTCAAACTTGTGAGAAAATAGCAAAAGAAATCTAGTAATACTGGAGAAAAAAATGTTCAAATTTGTTTGGAAGAACACGCAGCTAGGTACATACCGTTTGCGTTTGTATGGTGACTTTGGCATGTCAGCAGTGGGAACCATCTGCTCTCCGGGACGCGCCCACAGTATGGGACCATCATTACTGAGGTTCCTGCTCAGCTGTACCAGTGACCGCTCACCCCAAGGCATCACTGCTTTAAGGAACTCATTCTCCTCCAATGAATCCAAAAACTCTGGAAAATAGTCCCCTACCTCCTCGTGCACCGTCCCAACTAAGCTTATCTGTAACAAAGGCCCCGTACGGAACGTGCCATTCTGGTAAGATTTTATCACCTGTTCTCTGTATTTACTCATTGACAAACTTTCAATGTCCGATTTGCCTAAAATGCCCGCCTTCACTGTCATGTTAGGATGATTTTCGGCAAAATAGTCTATGTAGTCTGGTTGGGACGCTACAGCCCCATGAACAATGCCCATCACACAATTTGACACACCTTCTGGACTTTCACCATACACAAAATCAAAATAGTCCTTTGCTAATTCGACACGCTCTTCCTTGGAAAGGTGTGAGATTTCATCTTGATAAACATGTAACACAAGTGCTCCACCATTTGAATATTTTTCTAAATGCATAAACTGCTTAAATTTAGAATTAGAAAAAGGCAAAAGGGAATCACCTACATCATGTCCTTTCTTTAAGTCCATGTGTTGAAAACAATGTGTGTTGATGTTTTTCACAACATCGATAGCACTCAGAGGCCTAGAGTCATTTTCCACATTGGTGTGACCACCATTCCTATTACTACTACTGCTGTCAGTATTATATTTGCCAGACTTCTTGTCTGTCTGGGTCCCACGGGACACCCTGGAAACCCCTTTCTTTGGGGAGAAAGTCCCAGACGAAGCTATCTTTACATCCTTACCACTCGAGGAACCACTGCTTGACGGTACCTGTACACCTTTGTTCTCCGTCCTGCGGCGGAGGTTGACCTGTACCCCACAATTATTGACGATTCGTTTCTTTCCTGAGATTTTGAGAGTGAGGCCAGTCTGTTGTGGGATGACATGGTAGTCCTGTTTGCCGTTGAGGGTGACTAGCGGTGTCTTTGTGGGGGGGGTCTGCCGCTGCTCCTTGTGATGATGATGCTTATGTTTGTGATGTGCATGTTTGTGGTGGTGCTCCGAGTGGTGGTGGTGGTGGTGCCGGTGCTCCTTGTGTTCGCTGGACACCTCCTTGTCTCTGGAGCCATGGTGGTTACTGATGGCTAACTTGCAGAGTTTTTCAGGACTTGACGCCGTACCATTGTGACTGTCCACGCTCCTGTTGTCAACATCAGAATGTCTGTCATGATTGGATGGGGATGGAGACACTGCAGTATAAAGAGTTCCAACTTCATAAAATCACAAAATCAATAAATTATACGTATGCTGTGGTGTGCATTCAGTGTAGGGCCAAACAAAAAATGCAGTATTATAATTATAACTTAGGTAAGATTTAAACTGAAATTTTTACTCAGCTTCTACAAAATATTTTTTTTTATTTTGGGAAAGGGCCCCTGAGCAGGAATTGGGGAAGTATCATCAGCATTTGGCGAAAATTGGGAAATATATTCCCACATGTACAGGTCTGGAAAAATATAACTTTGGAAAAAATAAAATCTGCAATGTGATTAGCAAAAACTTCCCTCTAGCTGTTTCTTGTAAACAGTAAAATGTATAGCAATAATTAATATAAACAGTTCAATTTTCAGTGATTTTGTTTATTAAATTTCAAATTTTCGTTATTGATGTATTTTGAATGCTCCTTCATGGACGGTAATACTTTGAACCTTACACATATAATGACTGGAAACTTGTATAATCATGCTTTTCAATGAAACTGGGAAAATAAAGACTGAAATTGGGAAAATGCAGCAGGGTCATTTTTCATTTGGGAAGGGCTCCCAGCTGTATTGGACCCTATAAACACCTGGCAAAAACCCAAATAAATTATAACATTAATGAGCATTATATTTAAAACAGCTCTCACCTCGATATGACTGATTTTGTTTGTTTGGATGGGGTTTGAAGTACTCACAACAGTTAAGTTCATTTATCACATTTAAAACAGTTAATAATCGACTATTTCAGATCTAGAGCTGACTGTCAAAGGATTGTAAAATCCTAATTTTGTCAAAATAAATCGATGTATCTATGCATGTATAAATGATGGTTTAAGATATATTGTAATAGCTGAATATAAATTTAATTGTGAACAAAGGCCAAATAAAAATATGTGTGTGTTTCCTGTTTCGGCTCAAAAAAAATTAGGGTACATGTAGGTAGGAAAAACATTTTTTTTCTTTTCTGTTGAGGTAAATCTCCTGATAACCTCTGTGATTGTTAAAAATATGTTGTTGTTTCAATAAAGTATGAAAGGCACGAAATGTATAATCTGATTCATGTAAAATAAATACACAAATGCATTCACATTTTATGTGTTGAGCAGGCTCAAACGACACATTGAAGTAAATCATTATTTGACCTACCTAAATGTTTATGGAATAACCAAGTGTAATTTACAGTAGTGCTATACTACCACCAGTGTTACATTTCTAAATTATCCCTACAGCTGGATAATCCAGACTCCACTGATGCTCACCAGTGTTATGTTATGTTGTGTTATTTTGTATTACTGATACTTTCTGTTCTCAATTTCCACTGCCCCCAGTTAAAATTAAATGAACAACACAATATAAGTATATTTATATTTACACTATATTTACAACACAAGTTTTTTAATATGTCATAAACTATACCAGTCTTCACTATTGTGAACTCAATCTCTCCACTTCAAACTTAATTATCTCCAACTATAAACTGTAAAACTGAACAGATCTACAAACTACAGCTAAAACTACTATATAAGTCTAATATTTTTAACTTCTATCTCTCCTATATATATATATCTCTTGACCTCCCAACTGGGTCTCCCTAATTACTCAACCTCCTTCCTCAAAACTGTTTAACTCAATTCCCCAGCCCAAATCTCTTCTCCTCCTTTGGCTCCCAAGCTGAACTACCTTACTATCTGTCTCTTAGCAAAATCCTGCTACAATAAAAATGTTGATTCATAAAAATTGTTGATGCTGCTAAAAACTAGCCATGAATCCTGCTAAATTTGACTCTGGCGGTCATCACTGACATCACAGACTGGACTCCCCCCACCTAGACTAGACATTCACACTAATCTACAGATCCCAACCTATATCATAACCACAATTATCTACGGCTACTTAGCTACTATCTTCAAATAAAACTCTGACACGGACCACACTAATAAAATGCATAACAAATTTTAAGTACACTTTAACAATTAAACGGCTTATAAATGCATTACAGTGACTGTGAAAAACCAATAAAATGTATTAGGGTCGGCATGAAAAAATAGGGTCAGTCAGGAAACGGGAAACACAGCTACCTGGTAGGTATATTTGTATTTGGCCTATAAGTGATCAAAGTTGGCAAATTGCAGAAAATGTGATTTATAGCGTAAACAGGGCACGTTTCATGTGACCAGATGTTGTGTCTTATAATACAGTTGTAGTATTAATTGGAAAGTTGAGGTGTGTCATTCACCCCTATATATCTAAACTGGACTTGCCCAGTCATTAAATTAATTTAGTAAGGTTCAAATGTGACTTGGGGGTAAATGAGTTAATTTGAATCTATGGCAACTTTGTTTTTATTATCTTAACTGATAACAACAACATTATAGCGATAAAGGTTGTCCAGATCAAAACCAATTCTGCATGACTACTTCATATTTATGGAAACTATATATTCTAGAATTGTACAAATGGTATAGTTAAATATTCCTCGCCTAAGGTGCCCTCACTAGAGCAGATAGCCTATAATATATATAACCAAGTCAAATGGGCCACCTTCAGCAATATTTAGTCAATAATTATAAATAAATGCAATGCAACCAGGTTGTGTGAAATATGAATGTAAATTATTTTGCATTCATACAAGCATGACTGCACAAACCTATGTTGAATTTCCTACCAAATCCCCACCAATATTTTATATGTTTGCATATTTTTAACACATTTTCTACTTGTCAGCTACTAAAATTCGTAGTCATCAGTACACAACTCATTATAATTCTTTGATCATTGTTCAGTATTGTGGTCACCTTTACCACTGATTTAATATATTATGGTACATACATGCCATATCTAAGGATTTTGGCGTGAGACTCACGAAAATTGCTTCTGAAAAAATCCTCATGGCGTGAGACCCATTTCTCAAGAATTGCAATCAGTCTCACGAAAAGAAACAAAATTTGATCAATTTTAGTAAATGTACATGGATTCACAAAGTGGCCTGGCCGACCGATTAAGCAGCGCATGGCTTCGTGACTTGCTCACCGATGTGTGAACTGTCAAGCAATTAAATCAGTGATCCCACATCCATATTTGCTAATTAATATGTGATGACAGTTGATATAAACATTTTAAACAGCAACATAAGAACTGTTAATTCATTTAATACAACCGAACACATACATGGTTTACCCAAACGGAAATGTAAGTCATGANTACAACCGAACACATACATGGTTTACCCAAACGGAAATGTAAGTCAAGACTATAAAATCGAAACCGGACACTGACATTGAATCCGAGAATTTATTCTCTTGCCATCGGGATGGGTTTGAGTGTTGATGAAAAAAAACATAAACGTAAGAAATTAAGTTTCTTCACATTGGATATATACAAATAGTGGAAGTAGTAGATATTCATTTACTTTTTTTCAGCAAATGAACATTATTCCCAATGTTTTGAGATGTACTTTTTTTTCTAACCTGGGTAACAAGGACATCCCTTTTACTTCTTTTCATTATTCATTTTTTTGCCTTTGATGGAAGTATTGTGATATATTTACTTTTTTTAAATGTTGATAACTTTATCCGGATGGTATGTCATGTGTAAACCTCCCTAAAATCCTTTAAAATATCAATAAAATCCTTTAAAATATCAATAAATCTTTAATTTTGGCTCTAACAAAGTAATTAGAGGCTTCAGAATAACACAAATGAGATAATGCAATGTGATATGCAGTAAAATTTATGTTTTAAATGTCTCACGAATTTCTAACTAATTTAGAGAAAAAATCTCACTATTTAGAGAAAAAATCTCACTATTTTTGACCAAATCTCATTATTCATTTTTTACTGATCTCAATATTTTGCACCGGAAAGTTATGGCATGTATGATGGTAAGTGCAATACTAAGTCAAGATCTTCATGATGAGAGATGCTGAACTCCAATAATCAACCCTACTATTGAGCAGCTGTTGATATTTTCACTGATAACACATGCATGACCCCTGTTATATCACATATAATTGAATATACAATGTATTCATGCACTCACCAAGTCCCTTTTACTATTCAAAAACACATCCCAAATTATGATGCAATTAAGAATATCATTTCAAATATGTATGTTACAATTCTAAAGGTGATTTATTAAACACATAATTTTAAAGTGCAAATGCTTTGTCGCCTTATTGTTAGTCGAGTGGGGGTCGAGTGGTGGGGTCGAGTGGTGAGGCCAAAGAGCAGACATTGATTTTGATGTGTGCCTACGTGCATCCCAACATGAACAAAATCTGTTACAACGTTGACAACAGTTGTTTCCATCAGACATTACCTTTCGTCGTTCCATTCATTCCATTTGATGGCTTCTGTAATGGTTTTTGCTTGGGAGGTGACGGCGAACCACTTATTTCTGATGAATCACTTGTTGATGAAAAACGCCTTTCACTACTGACATAATCGTCTAAATATCCAGAATTTGACAGTCTACGATAATCATGTTGAATTCGCCTCCTTTTGCCAGTATCTGGACTGACACATGGATCTGGAATATGTGTTGTTGGAATGGTTGCAATTTTCAGACGTTTTGGATCTGAAGGTGAAGATGTCACTGGAGAATCAGATTGTTTATTTTTATCCTCCTTCGCAACATGTGCAGCATGTGTGATTTGCAATCCCGGTAGATTCCTGTAACCTGTTTGGTCCCGTTTTAGATTGAACAATATGTCATTATCATTTTCACTTAGTTGGTCATCAAATGTGTCTAGTGTCATACGCATAGAAGTTTGTTTTTGCAAGATCTCAAAGATATTATCGTTGTTTTCATTATTTCGTGAATCTGTCGTTTCTTCCTCCGCCATTTTAATATTGACAAGTGCCCGGATATTCGACTCCATACCGAAGGAATTCTGTTACAACCCACATCATTGGTGCGAAATGAACATAATCGCGAAGTTTTATTTTTAGCAACCAATCGATTTCACTCTTTCTGCCACCGTCGGTAATACAGCAAGGAGCGTGCGTATTCGCGCAAATTTATCAACTTTTCAAAAGAGAAGAAAGGCAAGTCCACTAACTAACAGAAGACACATATAAACAACAACTATGTCGACAGACGGGTCCCCCCCGACAAAGATGCAAAAGACAGACGGACCAATAGAGGTATCTGAAGGTGATCAGAGTCAGGATTTTGATGCAGATACACAAAAGGCTTTGGAAGATATAGACGCTTGTCAAAATGATATTGACGTTCTAAATGAGAAAGCAAGTGAGGAAATACTGAAAGTTGAGCAGAAGTACAACAAATTGCGGAAACCTCATTTTGATCAACGGAATGAACTTATCAAAAAGATTCCAAACTTTTGGGTCACTGCTGTATCCTTTGTGTCGATTTTAGCCAATGATTTATTTTGATGTTGAAGAAAAATGGCCAACAGTGTCTTCAAAGAGAAATCAGCACCAGATCTACGTCGCTCATAAATCTTCTAGACTGAGTTCTACTGAAATGAACACCTTTCATATTGTTAAGTTACTAAGAAATGATGTAGCGTTTTTGTTTGTTTTCAATCCCAAACATATAATGTAAAATAATATCTGACCTAGCAAGGGGAGGTAATCAGTATAGAAAGCAAGGTAGCACACCACTGAATTTTGATTTTCTCTTATGAGTTATTTTAATCAAACTAACATTTACTTTTTCTTGTTTTTAAGTTGAAAAATGTACCGAACGTAAATTTCAGTATTTTTATATCTATTTACACTGATCATAAACATGATGGGTGACTTTTCATTTGATACCATCAGATGCCCAGATGCAGCTTTCCATTTGAAAGGTTCAAAGTAGCTGCCATATTTATTGAAGATGCCTCAAGTGCTGGATTGGTGTTGGGGGGTGGATCTAGATCCACTATTTATNGGGGGGGGGAGGAGGAGGATTTGAAACGATATTTAGTAAAGTCAAGTCAAGTAAATTTTATTTAATGTCGATATGATTACAAAGATTACACAACCTTGTTTAGTGAGCTTTTACAATCGACATAATAAATGAAATATAAATAAAACAAGGTTTCATTAATTTAACAATATATGCTCATGCTGTAAAGTTACAAATAGAGAGGAAGCATCCAATAAAACATATTTAAATAAATAATAATAATGATAATATTTAATGTGGCATGTTATATTTATCACATTTTGAATTTCATTTGTTATTTGATCACATTTGCTTATAGTTATTGATTATGAGATGAACATAATCACATAAACATATCACAGGCTGATAATATATCATAAAAAAATGAAAACTTAAAATTTAATTTACATATAAAGCATACTTCAGTACACAAACTAGCATAATATCACAGGTTTGTGTTCATGCAAACACATTTAAAGCATATTTAAAAATGCAACTTAAAACAGGCATGCAAAGCATAAATTTATACAATTAAGACGTAACAGATTTACGCATAGCACAATGATGTCTACAGGTTTGGCCGTTCAGCTTCCCATATACATGCCTTGAAACTGGCAACATCCACAGCATTTCAAAATGTTGATGAGGTGAATGAAGGATGAAAGTGGTATGGAGGCTAGTTCCAAAGTTGAACTTTTTTATCAAAAACTTACCATGTAAGGGTACACAGGTGCTGAACACTTTAATGTGATGTGTATATACTTTATAATACTATTATATAGTTTATATACACATCATATTAGTGTGTCCAGCACCTGTGTAAGGGTAGTTTTGAAAAAGCAATCGCCATAATGCGTCTCCGTTAGTACACAATGAAACACTACTTTAAGATGGTAGGGGTGGCACAGGCGAAACTGCACTTGCCTTTCACCAAGGCGCCTGGGTTCGATTCCCTGATCGGACATCAAAAGGCATGGGATCACCTGCCCAACCATGTGGGCGATCTCCAGGTACTCCGGTTTCCTCCCACTTTGAGACTGCCGGGCACTAACATCCAGGCCAACAAGTGATCATATGAGTTGAAATAACTTTTTTTATATAATTGTTGTAAAATAAATAAAGTTTATATTATATTTACTATAAGAAATGAGTGATACTTATCACAATTCTAAAAGGACCTAAATTGATATTAAAATACCAAAAGAGACCAATATTGTTTATATAATGCTACTATTTTAACAAAAACTATAATAGCAAGATACTAAGTTATGTCCATGTATGTATATGTGGCAGATTTTAATTGTACATAGGTTTAGGGTCGCCTTTTAGCTTTGAGCTAGAGGGAATTTACCTTTAACTCATGTGGTAGTCCACTAGTATGGGATCTCAGGTTCATTCCCCGATGGAAATACACTATTCTCTTTCCTGTCATATATATACCGGTATGTGTATTTTTTTCACACTAAAAATCCTTAATTTGCCCCCCAGTTTGTCAACCATCCACAGATTTCTGCCATCCTTGATGAAGAAGAGGAGGAGTGCTTACACTACCTCAATATGGTAAGTTACTGCAAAGTTGTTCTATTCTGTCTATTCTTGCGTATTGCAGAGTTATCTTCTCTTGTGAGCAGGTATTGATTGTTACGTCTTGGTTTGTGTGAGAAAATTACGTCGTTTTCTTAAAAGTTTATGACGTTACTCTCACAAACAAATGACGTAACAATCAATACCTGCTCACAAAAGCAGATAACTCTGCAATACGAAAAGACGGAATAACAATTTAGGGGAGTATTCCGAAACCAAAAGTGAAGAGAAAAAATGTACTGATTTTCGTCAAATGGGTTATTTCAAGTCATGGCGATCAAATGAACTACGTTAAACTCATCATCCCCTAAGGATACATATGAACTCTTCCGATTCAAAGATTGGAATAGTTCATTACGAAATTTCAGGGGTGAATGAGTTTAGGCAATAACCAAAGAGAGAAAATACTGTGATAATATAATGATACTGACAATAGACAAAGAGAAAAAATATCTTCTTTTATATATTTGCCTTTACATAATTCCATATATCAAATTGATGCTAAAATTGCAGGCATCCCCTACAGACTTGTTTAAAAGGTGAAAATATTTTGTATCTGTCCTAGCTAAATCTGTGTTGTCGTGTTGACTTTGAACACTTTCTGATTGAGTTATTTGAAGGGAATTCAAAGCATGTTATATAGGTGCTCAAGTTTATTTTGTTTTCCTTGTAGGTTGAAGTCGAAGAATTTGAAGATATCAAATCAGGATACAGGATAAATTTCACATTTTCCTCCAATCCTTATTTTAACAACAGTACATTGTCCAAAGAATTTCACCTAGCTACAACAGGTAAAGTTAGTCAAGACGAAAACATTATTTTACTTGTGTTTCCGCTACCATCCCCAGAAAATTAGTGTAGGTAGGTAAGCATTTTTTTAAATTTTGAAAATAATTTTACTCTGCTTATATATAGAGCAGGAGTTCTGACTCGAACAGTGCATATCATGATCAATATATGCCAATAAAAACTTAAGGGTAGGCACAAAATCTAGGATGGGTTGGGTTAGCGGAAACACAAGATATTTTTATACCCCCGCAACGAAGTTAGGGGGGTATACTGGAATCACCCTGTCTGGATGTCGGCCGCAGTAACTTGTGCGGAAAACTCCTCCTTAATTAACTGGTGGATTTCATTGAAACTTTGCATGAATGATCAGTATCTTATGTAGTTGAGCACTGGCATTTTAATTTGGGATTTCAACCCTTTTGATGGAGTTATGCCCCTTTGTGCGAAATACTTTGTTATTTTTTTTTTTAAATGGTGATTAACTCATTACTGGTGGGAGACTTTACTGCTTTGCATTAGTAAGCTTTAGCTTACAGTTCTGGTTTATATAGGAGTGGGGGTATTAGTTAGCCTTTGGCTTACAGTTCTGGTTTATATAGGAGTGGGGGTATTAGTTATCCTTTGGCATACAGTTCTACTTTTTATTTGGCCTCACACCTTCACCAATACCAAACAAGGATCTCAATGTCCATATATACTCCTGCATCATTTTGCCATTTTTAAATAAATTCTGCTTAAATTTTTCGTTTCAGCTTCTTGGTTACATTTGACATGTAATTGAGGAATAAATCCAATTATTCATTGAGATAGTTAATTAATTACAATTTTTCCTTTCTCCATCCACTTGTTTAAAATTTCAGTAAATATTTTTCTAACAGTTAAACAACATAATTGTCAGCTGCCTTACCAGTGTTTTCTCCAGGGCTAGGGATCAGTGTAAATGATTGCAGACAGCCCCTGCTAAATATTTCAAAACTCTGCCTATATCACAGTATATGTAAAAACACCATTGCCTCATTTTTCAAACTTGATGAAAATATGGCAACCAGAAAACAAATCCTCTAAATTCACTGAAATTTATAATAATAAAATACTCGCCCTGGTCTGTAAGATAAAATAGATGTTCTTTGTACAGGTGACCCAGCATCAAAATCAACAAAGGTCGAGTGGAAGGACAACATGGACCTGACGAAACGGGCACAGGCACAGATGCCCAACAGGAAACGGAGGCATGGATTCTCACGGACATTTTTCCATTGGTTCCAGGACAACACTGACCCATCAGCAGACGACATTGCAGAGGTGGGTGGTCTGACCTTCCATGTGGTGTTCCCAATATTATATAACTAGCTAATTTAAAAAAATACATATATCAAGTCCTGTGGACAAAGTAAACACTTCATCTATATATACATATATATAAATGGTGTACTTTTCCATTAGCCTGATGTATGGGGCAAGTATTTTTTACGTCGGCGTTAGTGACAATTTACTCTGAATATATATTAGGGGACTAGTACAAATTTTCACTCAAATTTTGCCTGCACACTTAACCATGTACTCTAAAAAGAAAAATGGAACACCCCTGTGTAGATGTATTTATAATTCTACAACCACTGCAGGGTTAGCCAATAAGGGTAGCCTGATAGTCTGAGACTAGTGAAATCTCCAGCTGGACTGTAGTGGTTCTAAAAACCGCTAGCCCATTGATTAGTGAAATTTAGATATTGCATATCTTGTTGAATAATATAAGGTTTATGGAATTTGCACATGGACTAGGAAAAATTGGAAAAGACTGTTGGTATTTTCCCAATTGATCCCAGGGTCTGTTTTCTCCCAAAAATCCCGGATAAAGCTCTGCAGGAAATGACAAGATTTCTCATAGGCATGTCTGTATGGTCACAGATATCTAGCTACATCAGGGTTGTGTTATACTGCCATCATTTGATATCTTGATGTTATACAGGGGTTTGGCAATATATTGAGGGATTTATACAGTATAAAGGAATTCATGTATATGTACAAGAAGGAAAGACAAGGGGGACTGGAAATGTTAAGCTATGAAAAGGGACATAATCTATCAAGGTTTTACTCTTATGCTGTAAATGTCAAAATATTCCAAGAAAATTGGAGCAATAGTTCGGTCCTAGATTTAATGATAGGCTTAAAAAATTCTGAATCCTTGTCATGATTGGCATAACTTGTGTTTTCAGGTGATAAAGGATGACATGTGGCCCAACCCACTCCAGTATTACCTGGCACCAGACATTGAAGTGGGAGAGAATGGAGTAGGGTAAGTTTTGTCTTGGCTACGTGTGATTATTTATTCTCTTACCCTAGACAGGTGTATCCGCACTTTTACCGGTGTGAGATTTCCTTGTCTCACCCTAGGGTTGAGACGGGGGGATTCCCCTATTCATAACAATGGCATGATGTCACTTCAACAATACAATGACGTCACGTCAACAATCCGCCAACGTCACGTCAACCCTGAATTAAGCATGTAACGTTATCGTTACATTGTGTATATGATACACAATGGGAGAACAGGGTAAGAGAAAAAGAATCATTCGCCCCCTTGTGGGTGAGATAGTGGAATCTCCACCCTCAGGAAAAGATTCTTAAGTTGCCAAACACTCAGCAAAGCCTTGTGTTTGGCAACTTAAGAATCTTCCCCTCTGGTTGAGATTCTCCTATCTCACCCCCAAGGGGATGAAAGATTCTATTATTCCCCCATACTTGCCTGTGAATACAGGAATTGACCCATGAAAAGATAAACTGGTCTTGCCCGAGGGAAAGACAGCCTACACACGCTATGACGTCATGACACACTTTTGCATAATTAGACCTTTGATCGCATCGCTAATGTTTTGAAAACATCATCACTCCATGTGTACTCCTATGCTTCTGTGTATTGGGGTACATAAATGTAAACATAGCGGAAATACGAACATACTGTCAAATGCCAAAGTGTGAATAAACATATTTGTATTCATGCGCGTCATAGAATACAAGCATATGGAGGTCAAGGAGTGTTGACACAGGCATGTTTATTTGGAGTATTGGAGAAACCTGTGTAAAATTCCATTATTCTTCAGTTTCACATGATTTAAGTTCAGAGATAGTTTAAAGAGGATCTGAAACAAATTCAAATTTCATAATTGTTATGAAACTTCCTGAAACTTGATTCACAAAAATTAAATATAAATAGCGAGAACTTGTGATAAAATTAGGACCACTTTCACATATCTACTTCAACTCTTTCAGATGGCTGAATGTGAAAGAAAACAGCAGGCATAGATTTGAAGTTAGCTAGATTGACTTCTGAAAATTTTGGCACATGCATAGAAACGCTGAAAATTGCTAGTGTGCATATTTCTACATAAAACAATCTCAATTATTATTCTTGTTTTATTATAATCAAGTATTTATTCGTCACTTTCTCTGAAATTGTCCTATTTTCATCAGCCAACTTCCTGTCAAAGTGTTGGTTTATTGCGGAATAGTTCTTGGCCACCTGAAACTATTTCAACAAAGATATGTGAACACAGCAAATGAAAAAGAGGCATTTTGATTATGACATGCCTTTATAAAGGATTTAGTCTGTTTTCTTTTCATATCATAAAAGCTACTCATAAAAGAACAAAACTTTTATTTAACAGTGATCATGATGATGAAAACGAAGATTCTGTGGTAGTATTGGGAGATGACGATGATGATGATGATGAGTTAGATGATGGTAAGTATGTTAATTTGTTATTCAAACAAATAAAATTTTGTATTTTTTCTAACAGTCAAAGTTGAACACAAGTTGTGACAACATCCAGATTGTTTGCCAGTCAAACTTTCGTATTAAGCATGCAAATTTCAAAACTGAAACCGAGAAAACCCCCACAAACACAAGATATTTGTGAAATGAAAAATTAGTCTGTCTTAGATCTTGTTTATTTTAAAAAGTTGTTTAAAGAGTTGTTTCTCGATATTTTTTTACATTTTTTAAAAATATTAAAAAAAACACATGTACTGTATATTGAAATAGGCGACAATACCCGTTCCTAAATAATTACAAGACATTGATTTTGATTTCAACAGATGAAGAAGTATATCAAATTGATGATGATGACGATGATGATGAATTAGATGAAACAAATGGCTTAGGAGAAACGATAGATTCTGTGGAGGATGATGAGGGTAAGACATTAGCCCCTATCACCCCAACCCCCACCTTCATAGTGTTGTTACCATCACCGCAACCCCCACCTACATAGTGTTGTTACATCACCCCATCCCCCACCTACATAGTGTTGTTACCATCCCCCCATCCCCCACCTACATAGTGTTGTTACCATCACCGCAACCCCCACCTACATAGTGTTGTTACCATCACCCCATACCCCACCTACATAGTGTTGTTACCATCACCCCAACCCCCACCTA